ATTTTTTTATAAATTGTCCGACCTATCTGCCTCCGAGAGATTATGCCATGCCCTGCATATTATTGCAAGTTGATTAAAGGTTCACCTTGCACATTACTGCAAATTGAATCTTAATTTATTAAAAAAAAATATTTTAAAGAGAAAAATAATAAATTAGATTGTAAAGAAAAATTTAAAATTAGATTTGTACTTCCCGGAAAATTAAACCGTCGCGATATCCTAGTGAATTGCGGAAAGTCCACATAGGATAGTACAAGATAGTATACAAGTAAAGTATGGAATTCATATTTAACCACCTCCTCGTCTTACGCCTTATCAATCAGAATATGCCTTAAAGTTCGTAGATTGAGCCTATCGTATACGTCAATAATAATTTAATATGTTATTTTATAATTTGTTAAACAATCAAAAACTTGCTTAAAACAAACTCAGTCGTAGTTCCCCATTAATTTGAGTTGGTTAGAAAACCAATCTTTGTAAACCGAAATTGTTTTCGCATTCTCCCAATTATTTTCTTCTGGAATATAATTACACAATTTCTTACTTTTTTTTGATTACGAAAACATCAATCCCATGAGACTAATTTTCCGATTATTATTCTTATATTTAATCATATCAAATAAAAAAAAATCTAATTGGTATTTTTGCAGTCTAATTATTTTTCCGTTACATATATATTTTTTTGTATTTGTTTATGTGCTATTTGCTAGTATCTATATAATATATGATGTTTGATAAAACAAAAAAAAAATTAAACTGATTATATGGGTACCAACACCGTGATATGGGAATGATTTTTAACACATTTAAGTTTTATTCACCAACTAACATTCAATTGAAACATAATATTTGAAGATAAAAATAAATATATTTTAAAGTTTATAAAGACGAGCACTCATATGAGATTATGGAAAATATTTCATCAATTCTGGTGATTTGATTTGTTATTTCTGATCCTGGTTAAGGGTAGTCTTCATACACGTTAACCCAATTCCAATTTTGGAAAAGCAATTTAATGCTTTTCTAATGTTACAATACAAAAAATGTTTATATTTCTTCATCAAAGTATAAATGTAGATGAATCTTTATGAGGTATGCTCGAGAAAAGCAAAGTTTCCTTTTTTTACGGCTATATGAAATATACAGTCAAAATAATATTAAAGAGAGAAATTAAAAGAACAGAGTTTTTATCATTGTTTCTTTCCTGGTTTTTTAACTTTTTTTCTCTTTTATTCTCCCTTCTGTTTCAAGCACGTGATTCCTTTTGATTTCATTGTGGATATTTTAGTTGATTTGTTCTTATTTTTTTATTCAATTCTGCATTATATGCAAACATTCAACCATAAATATAAAAATTAGTTCCCCTTTTATATACAATAAAAACTATAATAATGTTATTATAATCTGTTAATATTATCCTTCGAAATCTTACAACAAAAAAAAGGATAATTATATAATTTCAAAAAGGTAAATATGTTTCTACTATGTTTGCATGCGAATTTTTCTTTGTTATAAGATCTTTTTAAAAAAATAATATTTTCCACGAGAATTTTCTTTCAGAACAAATATAGTTTAAGTTATAAATACAGTAGAATTTTGTATAAGCTTTAAGTTTATCTTAGCAATGTATTGATGTTCCTTGATTTCATATCTCATCTCTAGCTTAACACTGTGTACTCAAGCAGGCTGTAAATTGGTAAGTGAAGTTCAATTCATATAGTAAAATTAAAAAAATATTATAGGTGAAACTTTTATAGTAATTTGAAAATAAAAATTTGATAAACTAAAGGAGAATTCTGTTATTGCTTTATCAGAACCGCTATTTTTCAAAAAGGTTTCTAGCAATCTACTTTGTAATATATAATTAAAATTAATTTTTTATATTTTTTCAGCACAGCAGGAAGGAATTTCATATACTGTTAGTTTGTGAAAAATGCTCGTTTTAAAGCTTTGTAATTTGCTAAAATTAATATATGTATAACTACTTTGTTTTTCAGCACCATAATTTTCATAATATCGGAATTAAGCATCATTAACTAACTACAATAGGTGTATCTTTAAATTGCAATTGAAATTTATGGCAAGTGGATTATAACAGATAACAGAAATGAAATATAAAGCAATTTCATAATTTTTGATAATTATGACATTTAGATAATCTCTTTCTTGTTCTTAATATTTACAGTTTTCACGATATTAATTAAAACTAATATTTCCTCTAATATTTAGTTAGTAAAATAAAGATTCCTGAATTCAGCTATTTCTATAACTAATGTACATAAGTTAATTTAAATATAATTGTGTTAAATTTTCGTGCGTTTATACCATTGCTAATAAACGCGGCTAACCCACCCTCATTATCTACATTAATCCCAAAATTTAAGGTTTTGATATTTGTGTAGAAACGGCGTAACGCATGAAAATTTAACTGAGCTAGGCTAGATTACCTATAGGTATTTTAATAAACTTGTACCTACACTTAGCAATCCTTTTGTGGCAGTGATATTAGTAGGTACATCGTCTCTACAATTTCTACAATTTCTACAATTTACAGTAATCATCCATTTTCACTTGAAAAAAGAAACTCTATTCAGATAGAAAATATTATTTATCTTCTATTGAGCTCAATATTTTATATGCAAACTTTTTAATAATTGGCTATTATGTTAATCAGATAAAAGCAACTTTGAAGATAAAACAAGGCTTATAATTGCATGGTAGCTGGGGGATGTACATCTTCTTGTTCATCCTTTTTCATACTATAAATATCAAAGTATGATTACTTTCATATTTTTCGCCCAAATTCACATTATTTATATTAAAATGTTATTTTCTTTTTAAATTATACTAACTATAACGAATTTTTATAATCAATAATATGCATACTCACATACATATTTAATATTGACATAAATTAATCTAATGCGAAAAAATAATACAAACTGTATATTATTCACCACACTCATTATGAAGAAAAAATAAGTTTGTGTGTATGTAGGTTCTTAGTTCTTATGCACTTTGAGTTCCGATTAATTACAGAACAAAAATCAAATAACTATGTATTTTGTATGTACTTCCTTTATTATAAAAAAAAACTTTAACATTGTTGAATTATAGCGAAGTATATATTACATACGTACAATTTTTCAACCTTTTTTTTCACAATGTTTAGGTTTGCTTAAAAACTCACCATACAATTTACAGTGTGGTAGGAATAAGAGAAAAATTTAAAATTTTCACTGGTTTGTGTCTAAGGTACCAGTTACTTACTAAATCTGTGATTTGCATTTGATCTATAAAATCTGATGAGCATTCGCATCAGATTCATTTTAATGTAAGACTTTTGGCAGAAATGTGTTAAATGTTAAAAAAAGACAAAAATCAACCGACCATTCCAAAACTTTTTCAAAAATTTATTTTCCTTCATTTTATTTTTAAAAATTCGAAAAGAAAAACTTCCACAAAATCTTATATAAATTAATAATATAAAAGATATATTATGTATGACAGTTAACTTTCTTATTTTATACAATGGTATGTTAAAAATTATGCTTTACCATGAATAATATTAAAAAGAGTGACATCTGCTATTAAATATATTCAATATTTGCCAACATTTTGCTTTATGTTAATACATATGTCAAATATACTGTCATATTATATGTAGTATAAAATTTTATACTATACCTTTGAAGGGAACCGATATAATTTTTTTAAATGAAAACTTATTGACGTTCTTAAATATGTCATTTAATTTTGAAATGTCATTTTAATTCGAAATGTTATTATTTGAATTTGGTAATTTGGTCAGATAAATAGACTTATTCAATAAATCATTATCGTCTTTAAGAGCAATCTAATACAAACTAAAATGAATTACATTATATTTTATTTTAATGTTAATAAAATATTATTAATGATGTTATGATAAAATTTTGATGTTATTTAATATGTTATTTAATATGTTGATGTTATGATAATGATAATATTTTAGTTTTTTAATTTAGAAACATATTGGAAAAAAAGGATTGTTAAGTTTTTGTAATTGAAATTAATTGTCTTTGAAGTAATTTCAGAATTTTTTTTATGTTTGCATTTAATACTTATATTTTTGCAATTAATTTCAAATTTATTAAAAAAAATTAATGTAAAAATAACATTCAATAGAAAATTTTATACTTAAATATCGTCGGTCCAACAGTGATTTAACGTATCTGAAAAAAGTGCATTTTTCAGAAGATAGAAAAAACCTTATAATATAAATTAGTATTTTTAAAGAGACAATGAAGTTGGCACTACATTTGTATTGTATTTTTGGCAGATACGTTTTCTCACAACAAATTTTTCTTGGAATTCGGATATGTTTTCTCGTTTTTGCTCTTTTACAGAAAGATGCGTCTTTTCACAACGATTATTTTTATACCAAAAAGTCAAAATCGCTAAAATGTCAGATACGTTTAATCACTGTTAGGCCGACGATATAATGGAATATTTTTAATTGCAATCGATTGTAATCGCAAAAATGATTGTTTCTTAAACAAACCTATAATGAAGCTCTAACCTAATTTTTGATTTTACATTTGTATACTTTGAAGGTTTTGAGGTTCTTTGCTATTAAATTTTTTTAAAATTAAACATATATTTGTAATAAATAAACAGAATATAATTTTGATTTAAGTTTCTCATGTTAATTTTAATGGAAAGATGTAGAAATATTTTTAGGTAAAAGGCAAATACATACCTATATTATAATATAACTTGAATCAAGTATTGCAACTTGATATATTGTGTACATAGTTAAATGATTTAAATAAGAAGAAAATAACATTCATTTTTAATAATACTTATTACGTACTAAATTTTATGTTAGTTTAAGATAAAAATTTAGATTAGAAATAAATAAGGTAAAATAAGCTTAATTGTGTAACCAAAATTATAAGTAAATCTTGAAATTTATTCCAATTCATTCATTATAACATCTGTATAAAAGTGTTTTTAATATTTTAATTAAGAATAATTTGTAATTAAATTTTTATTATCTAAACAATAAGAAAAAAATACCAAGTTTAAAAAGCACATTTTCAATTCAATCTATTAGAGAAATTATTATATATGTATATGTATGAATTTAACATAATATATATAGCTCTAACTACTGTAAGAATAAAAACAATATATGTATGAAATTAAAACATTAGGAATAAGAATTTCTCAAAAAGTTCAGAATTAAACAATCAAAGATATGGGTAAAAACTATTCATTAAAAACTTCATCTAAAGTAAAAATGGATAAATATGATAATACAAAAAGCACTGATGATGCAAATAGTTTGAAATATGAAGATCAAATATGCAATGATATGTTATTATATCCAGAAAGTTTATTCGGTAATAATGATGATAGTAAAGAGGATTTAGATGAACAAATGATGAAATCTACAAAACATGTACGTCATAGAAAACGTAAACTTTATAATCAAGTTAGAGAACAAATGGAATTTTATTTCTCTGACGCAAATTTAACCAAAGATCGTTTTTTAATGCAAATAATACGTGAAGATCCATGTAAGTTATTATTTCTTTATAATTGTTTTATTTAAGAAAATAAGTTATTTCACTTCCTACATTTCGTTTATTATGTACCTACTTATTTATTAAGATATGGTTGCAATCCAAAACTTATTTAATTTCAATTTATTTCTTTTCTCATATTTCCTCATTCAATTCGCCAAAGCATAGAATTTATAAATACTTAACCTAGGAATTATTAGTTTTTGTATATTATACCTTAATTGTTTTTATAAATTAAAATTTTGTATTTTCACTGATATTATTTATTATATATATGTTTCTTTTGCTTTTAGATGTACCATTGGAAATCTTTTTAAATTTTAATAAAATAAAAAAATTAATCAAAACAACTGGTGAATTAATAAAAGCATTATCATCATCGAATAAACTTGAATTAAATGATGATAAAACGCGTGTAACACGTATTAAACCTCTAATTGACGTAGATGAGAATCGTGATGGGATTGATGCTAGAACAATATATGTTGAATCTTTACCAGCAAATGCCGATCATGAATGGGTAAAAAAAATTTTTGAACATGCATCAAATGATGGTAAAGTTACATATGTTTCATTACCAAAATATAAACATTCAAAAAAATTAAAAGAATTTGGTTTCGTTGAGTTTGAAACAATTGATATGGCAGAAAAATGTTTAAAAACATTTCAAGAATTTAATGGTCTTTTAAATTATGATAATATCGAACCAATAAATTTATTAAGTATAACAACGTATATAAAAGAAAATAACGTTACTAAAAATATTAATGATATTAAAAAAGAGAAATTTATAAAAGATGATGACTGTGATGAACCAAAAAATAAAAGAATAAGATTAGATATCGATGAAAATCAATTACGTAAAAATGATAACGCAAATATTTGTAATAGCAATAACAATAGTATCAATAATAATATTACTAATAATACAAATAATATTGATGATGATGACATGGAATCATGTGAAGCTAATGAGAGTGACAAAGAATTAAATGATTTGAGTGGTAATAAAAGAAAAAAATTACGTAAAAAAAAGAAAAAAGATAAAAAAAATAAAAATTTAATCAAATCTAATGCAGCAAGTAATACAACTATCAATAATAATTCATCATTAATTCATTCAAGGCCTTTAAATTTGGAAGTTGATTTAAAGGATTTAAAAATATTACCAAAACGTGATTGGAAAAGATTGCGTAATAGATATTTGAATTTACAGCGAGAGAAAATTAACAATTTAAAGAAGAAGAATTGGCAACGAAATAATGATATTTCAAAAGGAAATCCCAACAAAAAGGTAAAGAAAAACAAGTAACTAAAATTGTTATTTTACATAAGATACAAATGTACGTTTTTTTATATAATTCATTTATTTAGTGATAAAACTTTTTAAATTATTTTTTAATTTTAATATGTATTATATTTCTATTTATAGCAAATTGCTGCAGTTAAACATATTGGTCGACTCAATCAACAAATAGCAGCATCCACATCACTACAACAATCAACACAGTTAAATAAATCTGTTTCAACATCATCATCATCATCATCAATATCTGTGCAAAATATAACATCATCATCGAATCAAAATAATATTACATCTGTTATGCCATTGTCAACGTTAACATCGTCACCACCATCATCTGTTTCATCATCTGCAGTACCTAATCCAAATGCTGGAAAATCTTCAATTATTGTACCAGTAGTATCTTCATCGGCATTAGTTACATCGTCAACATCATCATCATCACCATCGTCACCGATAACAAGCATTAAAACAACATCAACAATATCAAACAATAATAATATAACTAATAATAATAACAGTATTGTTAATAATAATAACAACAATAATAATAATAATATAAATAATAGTAATAATTGTAATAACAATATAAATAACAATAATAACAGTAATAATAATAATAATATAAATAATAATAATAATTGTAATAATAATAATAACAAAAATAATAGTAACAATAATAATAATAATAATAATAATAGTAATAATAATAATAACAACAATAGTAATAACAGCAACACTCAAACACAGCAATTAATTGTAATAAATGGTAAAAATTTTGACTTAAAAAAATCACCACATATGAATTTTTATCGGGTTAATAAAGAGATTGATGGGGCATTATATGATGAAGATGAAAATGATAGTCAATCAAATGATACATCATCATTGGATTCACCTGGTATAAATTCACCATATTCAATGATATTAGAAAAAAGACGTAAATTATTGAGTCCAATCACAAATAGTACAAAAACAATTGAAATAAAAAGAAATAATATTGCATTGGAAAAAAATCCATTGTTTCAATTTGAACCAGGAATTATTATTAAAATTGAATTTAATAATGTTATAATTGACGTAAAAAAATTTAAAAATGATATTAAACAACAATATAACATCGATGATGCAATTAAGTATATTGATATTAAAGAAGGTTACAATATCGTACACATTAGATGTGGTACACCAAAAAATTCACAATTATTATTAACAAAATTTTTGAATAATAAATTGAATTTAAAATTTAATAACTGTGAAATCATTTACGGTACAGAGGAAAGTAAATATTGGGATAAAATAATGGAAGATCGTGATATGAAATTAAATAAAAGAATTGTAATTAAAACAAAACGCGGCCGTGAAAAGATAACAAAATTAATATCAAATCATATTAGATTTGTTGATGATGATGACTGACAAAAGTTTAATAATAATAACAATAATAATAATTATAATAATAATAATAACAATAATAACAATAATAGTAATAAGAATAATAATAATTGTAATAATAATAATAATAATAATAATAATAATAATAATAATAATAATAATAATAATAATAATAATGATAATAATAATACTAATAATAATAATAATTATAACAATAGTAATAATAAAAGTAATAACAATGATAATTGTATTAATGATGATAATTGTAATATGATACAACACCAAAAATTAAAAAAAAAATCTAAAAAGATAATGAAATGATAAAATTAATAATGAATATAATTAAAAACAAATTAGAATTTATAAATATGTAATTCAAAAATGTTCAATTATTTTGTATTAAACTTAAAAAAAATTTTAGTTTTCTGTAGAAGGAATTATTAATTTTGGATAATTATTCTGAATCAAAATAAAAAATTAATCCTATTACCATATTTTAAAGCTTTATAATAATAATCAAGGAATATATAAAGAAATTTAATACTTTTGTATTTAAAATAAAATTTTTTTGTGAATTAAACATTTTGAAATAAAACATACTATTATTTATAAACTGTTTTTAAACAAATGTAACATAAGTAATTTATTTTATCATTGTATGTTATATTAAAGTTTTTTTCGGTACCAACAAATGCCGACTCAGTTTAATTGGCAATTAAAATGTATTTTGGAATTTGAAATAAATATCTAGGAAATAAGAAAAAAAAGTAACTTTTATTATAAACAAATTTAATATCACGAAAATGATACTCAAATACTTTTAAAATACTCAATTCATATTCAAATGGGCATAAAGTTATTAAAGAAAAAAGTGTTTTTCTGTGTTTATAATTAGGTTATAATATAAGTTATCTAAAATTTATAATCACTACATATATGAGTGGAAAATTCGTCTAACATTTGTAATTATAAACTAAATCCGCTTATAAAAAACCTCCCATAAGAAGGCAAAATCATGCAATTTAGCGATATGCCTTAAGGTTGATCGAGCGGAAACAGCAGACATCATTCAAAAGTATATAATTGAACTAGCTTTGGATTGAGCATTTGCGGTTGTAAGTATAAATTTTCGTTTATTCGAATAATTCAATTAGATAACTAGGACTGCGTCTGCACAATAGGGTATAGGGTAGGGTATTTCAAAATGTGTACCAATATGTGTATTGTTGGAAACCCGGTTTTCAATAGGCATTGAACAATTTCTATATAAATTTAATATACACATGCAAACATTTATTTTCTTCTTAATGCGGCATCAGTGCTGCCATATAGATTAACACCAAATATCTAATTTTTTTAAAACAAAATCTTTTGAAGATTCGATAAGAAAAAAATGTTCACGAAACCGTCGAGGTCTGCAAGGTATATTAAAAAAAGCAGGAAGCCGAAATATATGCATTGTGAAAAAAAATATGTGCATTGTAGCAACTTCTTTAACCGTTAAAAATATTGACCATTAACAATTGGTACAGGACTTGTTATATAAAAGTTACGGCAAAAATCAGTTTCTTAATACCGAATCGATGTAAAGTGTAGCATTAATTGAAAATAAGAATACGAGTACTTTAATTGCAATAAGCTAAATTCATATGAATATCATGACTAAAATGAGTATAGTTAAACATGATAAAACGCATTTTAGTCATGTTTCTATCATTCTGGTGCGTAAATGAAATAAAATAAACTTTCAAAAATATCTCTTTGCACTTTTCTTTTAATGTTAATAGAAACAAAAAATAATACAAATTCTTTTAATTTGCTTTTTTTTGCATTTCACAAAATCTAATCTCTTTTGATAAATGTATTTGTACTTTCATAATATTCATAAATGAAAAAGTACAAGTATACCTAGAAAAATTAAATGCTTACCTAATAAAAATTTAGAAAAAAATACAAATGTCATTAAAATATATTTTTCCAATCTGAAATTTAAATTAAATAAGTGTATATGTAAATTGCATATGAACACTCGTAATGCACAATTGTACCCATAAATGATATAATAATTATTAATTACGCATGTAATAAATAATCGACAATGAATCAAATACGGTCGCGGGTGTGGGGAGGCGGGTGGAGCACGTGAATTTCAGTGATATTATGGAAATCTCTTAACAAAAAAGCAATAAGCAAAAAATTTTTAGCCCAGGCTTACTTACCATTACCAACCACCATTAGAGAGAGAATATTCATAAAAATACACAAAACGTATTTTTTTTAAAGAGGAAATGACCAATACCAATTAATTTAACTAAAAATAACTCAAAAATATCAAAATTTTGTTTTCAAAAAACATTAAAATTTTGTATTTTTTATGGTCTGATGATATAAAAATATAATTATAAAATTCGATGTTTCTATAAAAATAGAAGTATAGCAAAAAAAGAAAATAAAAAACAAACGGGTTTTCATAGTTTTATTTCATAATTTTACAGAAAATGAAATAAATGGTGGACAAAGAGCAATACAATAATAATATTTTTTTTTGTAAAATGAGAGCATCCATGAAAGTCATTGCTCAATTTTTATACTTGTACGAACGTATGTTCGAAGGGTATACTAAACTTGCCTTACCGTTTGTAACGCTAAGAAATAATGGTCTGAGATATAGAATCAGGTATATGATTTTGATCAGCGTCGAATTCTGAGTCGATTTAGTTTTACCTGTCCGTTCCAACGAAAACTCGAAACCTAATTGCGCTAATTCACCAAATTATCACAAATGATTTATTACAGTAAATGCCAAAATCCTATTTAAATTATTTATGATAGATTATGGTACTGGTTCGGATACCTTTCAAATTTATTCGGCTATATCTCAGAAATTAAAAAAGCTGTTGTATTGCAATTTCGTACGACCGAATATATTAGTAAGGCCAATGTGTTTGATAAAAGTCATTGAAATTGCTTTGCCCCTTCTGGTAGCTGTCATAAAATCTTAAAAGTTACTTGGCTTTATCTCAGAAACTATGAAGGCTGTGGTATTGAAATTTTATACAAGCGAATTTATTAGTAGGACCAATGTGTTTGATAAAAGTCGTTCAAATTGCTTGGCTCCGACTGGAAGCTGACATACAATTAAAAATTATTTGGTTATATCTTATAAACTGTTTAACCTGCAGTACTGAATTTTCGAAAAATAAAATACGGTAAAATGGCAGCTATATTCATTCAAAGTTGTTGAGATCTCATGACCACTTGTTATAGCTGCCATACAACTTCAAAAATTATTTGGCATTATCTCAAAAATTATTGGAATTATAATATAGAAATTTCGTGAAAACAAATGTATTATTAGCGCATTTATTTGTGATAAAAATTGTTGAAATTTCTTGACTCCTTGTGGTAGCTATCATACAAACTTAATAGTAGTTTGATCATATCTTAGAAAATATTGAAATCACAGTACTGAAAATTTGCATAAATTATGTGGTAATATACGGCAACTTAAAGTCATAGTACGTCCCATAGTCCGCTGTAGCATATTTACTCGCGCATTAGACAACAAATTCGTACGGGTATCAGAGTTGACGCGATCAACTCTATTTTTTCTCGGTTTGTTTTTAATTTCCTTCTATAAGATCTAATTTAAATATTGAATGTTTGACATTTATTTTCCATAGAAAACCAAAACCAAAAATTATAATAATTGAAGAAGTATAGTTGCAAAAATTTAATGTAACATATAAAAATAAATATAGTTGTAGTTTTGTATAACTCTAATTAGTATTCCCGTTAAAAAAACTCTACTATTTTATAATCTGTATGGTACTTGTTCTTGAGTATTATGCTTAACTCTCTACACTTTATAATGATTTCCATCAATAACGAGCGGGATCTTTTTTACAATTTTTGTATGTTGTGATATTTTTATTTTGTATGTTGTGATATTAGAGAAAGTAAAGAAAGAAAGCGAATACATAGGATAAATGTAATAGTACCTATTTCACGAATTTTCAATATAGAAATAAATAAAAGAGCAATTCTATTCGCAATATTATTTTTATAATTAGTGTTACCGATTTGTTTCGAGATAGTAATGCACTAATTTTTTTACCGACCTAATCAGATGTAAAGTTTTCGTAAGGAACACTTTTTTCCATAGAAGGGCAGCGCAAATAAACTATTTTTAGAGATATGTCGTTCTGTCAGTCTGTCTGTCGGCATATCGGTCTATATGTGCACGCGTATACCTCAAGCTCAGCTGAAATGATTTTGGCGAAATTTTATATGTGAATTTATTGTCGCGGATTGAATAGTTTTTGGGATATTTCAGGCCTCGGGAACTGGACCTTCTTGCTTACGCAAATAATAAACCTATTTTCTTGAAATTTAATATTAAAATTCGTGGTGTTAAAACAGTGAACCAATACATTTTTATTATATCTACGATACTCGAGTTTAAGTTATTACCGAAATTCGGTGGCGAAGTTTTCAGGGAATTCGGATGACACAGAGTAAAAACCTGGTAAAAACTAAATTTACGTTTTTTGAGGAATGTTAACTATAATCATACTAGTGTCCTTAAAATTGTAAAGAAGTGTTTAAAACGCATTTTTATAGTGTTCTATAACACTTTCACTTAACTAGACAATGTACATTGCGGTCGGTTATGTACTAACTGTATCAGATTTTATTTTTGTAAATTCCAATTAAGAAGAACCAAACTGAATTGAATTTTATATTATATTTATTTTACAAGTTTTCCGTATTCTGAAAGTTTATAAAAAGGCATCGAGATTTTTTTTCCAGTTACTTTACATACTTCAGTTTCTTTCAGTTATAGTCCATATTTCGTACTAAGATAACTGAGTTCCTAATATAACTTACCAAGAACTAATCAAATTCTTTATAGACGGCATTTCATAATCTAGAAAAATAGAAAAAGAAGGAGTAAACAGGAGACAATATGCTCACATTTCGATAAAAAGAATTTGAAAATGCAACAATAACAAGAATGCGCGAAAATTTTTATGTTATATTTTTTATTGGTTTTTATATTATTTTACTCTCTTTTCAGAGAATTAAAATGTATAGAGCTTAATAAAGAACATGCATTCAAATTTTAGTTAAAAACAAAAAAGAAAAAATTGCAACATAAATAATATGCATTGAATAGACACAGTACACATACATATACATTAGAAAATTGTATAAGGCCGACTAGTGAAACAAAAAAGGAAAAGAACAGAAGAGAAAGGGAAAAATACTCTAAAAAAAAGGCCAGACTTATTATTTTTTGTTTTCTTTTTTTTATTTTGTTCGAAAATGAGAAAGGGATAGGAGAATTGGAAAATTTTTATACTTTATTTTTAGATTTTCTTTTGCTTTTTTTTTATTTTTTGCTGCTTTACTAAATTTTCACTTATATTGCATACATGTGTATATATAAAAAAAAATTTTCTTCATCGTAGGATGCAATGATGTTGCGAACATAGAATACTGAAAAAACATAAAATAAAAAAGTTCTACAATTTTTTTTATTTTCAGTTTTTCTTTTTCCTCCCTGTTTCTTCTGTTTCTTTTCTTTCTTGTACTTATACTTCTTCTTCTCACTTTAATAAAAATGGTATTTTTTTTTTATTATTTGTTTTATTATACTTTCTGTTATTCGCCGTTATTAGTCGTTCCGTTTCGTTCTCTTTTTTCTAAAACTAAAATAAATTTATATATAAATAAAAAAAAATAAAAAAAAAAAATATATATATTTTTATTTATTTATCCTAATATAAATTAAAAAAATATATATATAAATAAATAACAATAATAAATATATATAAATAATTAAATAAATGTTTATAGTTTTAAATTAAAAAAAAAATTAAGATAAAATTTTAAAATAAAAAATAATTCTTTTTTTTATATTTATATGGGGTGTGTATATATTTTTTAAAAAAAAATTACAATTTTCAAAATTTTTTAATTTTATTATTTAATTAAAATATGGTTTTTCGCACTTAATTAATTTTCTTAAAAAAAAATTACAAAATTTCTTATATTTTGTTTAAATAAAAAATAAAAAAAAACATAACTAAAAATCACAACAAAAATGAAAATACCCATTAAAACTAGAATTCGAATATAATATCAATTTTTTTTTAAATGCAAACTATATATATATAAAAAAAAACAGTTAAAAAATAGTTTTTTAAATTATTTGTTTAATTTTTTTTTTCTTTGACTCTTTAATTTTCAAATTAAAAAAAATTTAGTTTATTTAATATATTTGGATATATATATAATATATAAATAACTTTTGTATATAACAAAAATAAAAATTAAATGAAAAAAAAATGAAATAAAATAAAAATAAAACAACGGAAATAAATAAATTAAAATTTTTTCAAATATTGTTATATTTATAAAAATATTCACGTACATATGTGTGTGTGTATACATATACATTCTAATATTGTAATTAAAACATGTATATAATACACAACATACATACATAGTAATAAATTATTATCACATTTATATTCAAAAAACATGAGAAAAAAAAACAAAAAAAAAATACAAATGCATAACTTAATATCTAAAATTATATAAATAAAAAGTATTGATAAAAAAAATTAATTATAAAAATTATTTTTATTTACAATATTATGTAAAAAAGTAATAAAAATAAACAATGTACATACATACAACGTATAGCTTTAGGGACGGATGGAATTGTAAGGGATCGAAGTTTTTGAATAGGTTTTTTTTTCTTTTGCGAAATATAAACTGCAAAGATTTTTCTCTACAACGTGAAAACTGAATTTCTTAAATTTTCAACTCTCTGCATCAAAATATTCACTGCTGCAGTCCAATGGAATATTAATGATATTTTTTTGTTTTGGTCTCCTTTTTGACTCCTCCATCAGTACTTGAAAGCAACAGAATTATATATGATGCCTCAATCTCATATAACAATTTAAATTTTCTATTTGTCCTTATTTTCGCTTAAGTGATATTATGTATATTTAAATTAATTAATATTTATTTTTTTTTTGATGTATTTGATAGTAATTGAATAAAATTCATCCGAAAACAAACTAAATTGTACTCATGTCAAAAAAAGCTTTAAAATTACGATTAACCTATTGCATACATTTAGGGGATTTATTAAAATATTTTACATGTTATTCGAAGCTAGTGTTAAAGATCCTAACGAGTGATTCCTTCAAGGAATAAAATTGTTCGCTGAGCGATAATTCAAACTAAGGGGTTTCGGAGGATTATAAAGAAAATGAGATTGAAAAAATATTTTGTCTGGTAATTAATTAACAATGGTAAAGCAATGTGCTATTAGTATCTTTTTTCTCAGTCAATGGACCTTTTTCGAGTAATATCTACTTAAACATGAAATTTGGGGTTAGAAAATTATAGAATTTTTTGAAAACATTATTTAATTCTATTAATATTGTCTTTTTAATAATTTGTCCGTTGAACATTAGTGTCAAATATATTTTCTAATCTAAAGAAGGTACAAGTATTTTAAATTAGAATCTATTAACGAATGACCTGAATGATTCTATGTACTGAATCAATTTCTCCGCTCTAAACTTAAAGAATGAACAGAATATTCGAAATTATAAGATGACGAAAAATTAAATATTAAAATAATTTTTTCTTTTAAATTAATAAAAAAAATTATGTATTTATATTTTCTTTTTGTTTTTACCAATTATATTTTTTAATATCAATTATAAATATATATATATATATATATTTCTTTTTAAATTAATTAATATTTATCTATTACATATTTTAAAAATAAAAAACAATTATATGAAACTTATGCATAATAGTGTTAATTTTTGGATGCCTTTAATAATACAATAAAATTATTGGTGAGTGCTTTAATTAAATATTTTTTTGAAGATTTATTAAATATTTTATCTTATAAATGATAACTAGATAGTCCTCAAGTAGAAAACGTTTGCTCTTATAAAAGAATACACAAATAGAGAATGTTTGGGCCACAAAACTTTTCTCCTCTTGCATATTTTCATACATATAACTCACGAAATATAACAGATAGAGCAGACTTAGTGACCACCCATCATTCTCTTTATAGTGCAGTTCATACTCGTACGAACGCATGTTCAAAGAGTGTACTAAATTTGCCTTACCGTTTGTAACGCCAAGAAAGAATGGTCTTAGATAAAATCAAGGATATGGTTTTGATTATCGTCGAATTCTGAGTCAATTTTGCGTTGTTCGTCCGTCTGTCCGTCCCAACGATAACTTAAAAACTAATTGATATAGTAAATGTCAGACCCCTATTTAAATTGGTTATGATCGTGTTACTGGTTCGGGTACCCGCCATACAACTTACAAATTTATTTGGCTATATCTCAGAAACTATAAAACCTGTGGTATTACAATTTCACAAAAACGAATATATTAGTAACAGCAAGGTCAGCTCTATTTTTTTTCATTTATTCATTATTAATTTTTTTTCTTTGTAAAATATTTTACAAAAATATTCACTTATTTGTAGAAAAAAGGTATAAAAAAATTTTTTCGTTTTGGACTAAATCATTTCTGTTCAAACTGCAATGAAAAATGTATTAAAATGAATTCTATGTTAATTTAATGTTTTGCATTTTAATGTTTCTCTTTCAATAAATTTAGCATTTTATAAACAATATATAATATATATATTGAAATAAAGTGATTAGAGAATATATTGAAATTAAGAAATGGACGTACGACATACAGGCAAAGTAGATTATGATAAAAGTTCCAAAACCAATTCTATAATATGATGACAGTAATATACAGCAAAAAAAAAACGGCAACATTTAAAATAACAATATTAAAAAATATTCCGAAAAATTTATTTTTAGAAAAAAAAAAACAAAATAGTAAAAAAAAAATAAAATTTTTTGTCAAGTGTCTATTTCTAATCAAGTCTATTTTTCTTGCTTCTTTTTTATTTCTTTCGTTTTCTTAATAATTATAATTAATGCATTGAATATTTTAAATGGTCTTATTTAAAATATTATCAGAAAATTAAGCAAGAAGTAAAACAATGGCGAAAAATTATGAAAGGTAACTCAATAGTGGAATAATTGAAGAAATGGGAATCTATTATACGTACATATACTTCCTTGAATGGAATCTATTAAGATTCCATTTAATCGATTTATTTTGTCAAAAATTATGACGTTTCTATATAAATGGGTTGTACGGATTTTTTATTTACTATACACAATTTAGCTTTAATATATAATTATCAAATTTTGTATAATAACGATGTCGTATTCTCTATTTGCGCCGTAACTTTACAAGACCTAACTTTACAAAATTTGCGTCTTGAGAAAAATACTATATGACTTGACCATTTCGCAAAATTCATATTGGCGGGCATAAAGTGAAAAATTGATTCCCTTTTCATTTTTATTTCTGTCATACAACAGTTCAGGTAGTAGCGAAATGATAATTTTCTCCAAACTCTTCAAAAAAAATTTGAAATAACGTAATTACGTTATTATTTTTTGTTTTTCAAATTTGCTGTCAAATATTTTCAGCATCTATAAGTCGCATCTGAGAATCTATAAGTCTTGTATGTTTAGTTAGTGTATGAAATGTTGTTCTATTTTGATTTTCATTTCTCATTAACAAATATTATACAAATTTATTTCGCATTAAACCCTTTAATTTCCAAAACAAATTACATACCTATATTGAAAAAGAGAGTAAATGCATACACACGTACATACAAAACATGCATATGTTTGTTTTCTTTATTAAAATTTTAACTGTTTCAGTTTCTGAACAATGCAAAAAACATTTGTTTTAAATTGGACATCCAACTGGAAAATACAAAAATATAATTAATTTCAAGAATACCCATTCATTAAAATGGCTATACAATAGATTCTTTACAGAATCTTTCATGGAATTCTAATCGTAAATATTCTTTTATTAGACCAACTACTAAGAAATAAAGAAAATATTTCTGTTTTGAGTTAACGATATCCTATTTATTAATCCTGTTTATAAGTTTTTGAAAAAAAAAATAATTTAAAGTAAATACTATTGTAGTTCAAAATATAAATCTACAGTACTAAAACGGTTAAAGAATAAATTGAAATTTTAGCAAGGCACAAAAAAAATAAAAAGAAAGAAACATATAAAATTTAAAATAGACCCTAAAAATTGTTTTTCATTCTTCAATTCTTATGTCTGTTTCTATGCAATGCTCTTGCTTTCTGTTTATATTTTTAAATTTTAGTGTTCTTTTTCGCTCTTTTTTTTACTTTTCTTTTGAATTTTCAAAACCATATTTTATGTTTTTTACTTTATATAATTTTTTTCCACACTTTTTGAGGTTACAAATTTTCAAAATTAGAATTTATATTTGAAAAAAAAAATGAAAAAATAAGTAAAATACAATTTTAATTTTTAAAAACTTTACCTTATCATTAAAATGCATATAAAATACAAAGTTGGATCAAACCAATGGTCTGTAAATAAGCGCTTTTCCTTTGAACAAGTGATGAACTGCTTTTAAAAATATTATTTAAGTTATTTTTATTTATATACAAAAAAAATAAACTGATTGCATACTTGAGGATGAACAAAAGAACAAAGTTGAAAAGAGTGTTAATATAATGTTGAATTTGACGGTTAAGTTGGTGAGTTATGAAAAATAATAAATTTAAATGGAATGCAAATATTAAGATGCAACTAACAGCATTTGGACGTAGCTAACGGAAAGTGCACATGATTACTTTGTATATGTTTATCTGGAAATATGTATATGTGTGTGTGTGTATAGTATGTATTTATGTGTGCTTAGTAAAAATAATAGCTAGGAAATGAAAACGAAATTATAGTTAAAAGAAAATTATGTATGTATATATTTTGTACAAATATTTATTCATAAAATATATTTTGCATACATACATATAAGCATATTGTACGAGGTTTATGGATGTGAATTATTTAATAATCAAATTAAACATATAAAAATAATTGTTACGAATTGAGGATGTTGATATAATGACTTTAAAGTATAATATTTGCGGTGTACGTACACTCAACTTTAGGACTTGAAAGTGATGCTGCGTTAGTTATATGTCCTTATAATATAGAGAAAATTAAAAGTTTACTTTTAATCAAAATTGAATTTTCATTTAAATATTTGTTGTTTTTGATAGCGTAATTTAAGTTTTAGTTCAAAATAATAAAATAATAAATAAATAAATTAAATATAAAAATTTTTCATATTCGAAATAAATTTCGAAACAGCTTTTATTATTTAAATTTATGTGATATGATTGTGTGCGCACATGTGCATTATTTTCACTATATACATACATGTATATAGTTTCGCAACATACGCCTCATGTTAAATATTATTGAAAAGTAAAAAAAAAAATAAATAATTTTATTATTTCGAGAATGAAAGTTTCTTGTTTTTTTTCTTTGTATTATTTTTAATTTTCTTTTAAAGTTTGTGTACAACGAGCTTTTATTGTATTTTGTATTTTATTTTTTTTTTGGTTCTAAAGTATACAAATGTGATGTAAGAAGTCAACAACAGGATCAAGGTCATTTGGCGTATATACTTTTATGCTATGATGAAAAATATGCTAACTTTAATGATTGAACAAAAAGAAAAACAAAAAGCTAATGTAAATAGTACTTAACCGATCGCATACTCTAAATTCATATTTTCTTAAATAATTTAAGTTCGAATAAATCTATTTTTATTAATTAATTTAAATAGGATGAACACAGGAAACACCTTCAAACACTTGTGTCAAATTCTGTATGATAACCGATATAACTTTAAGTTATATACTTAGTAAAGTGTTACTTGGTCCTTAGCAGTGATTTACTTCCTGTGAATCGACTGGCACGTCGTATTAGGAGATGGTGGCTTTATATCAGGGTTGACCATAAGCTCCTTGATCATCAAAGTATAATAATCATTAGTCAAGCTGTAATCATATATGTATGTAAATAAAGCATATAAAGGAATTGAATTCTATGTAATGCGTGTAGTATGTTCTACATTATAAATCAATTTTTTTTCAATATAGAACATAAATGTACGTCAATAAAATTTTCAATAAACCTTTCTTTTTCCATTTTTTCTATATACCTAGAAATATTTATATCTAACTCGAATTAACACAACAGGCTATTTCTCCACTCCAAGTTCATGGTTTTATTATTTAAAAATTCTTTTACATGAAATATGTATAATTGTGATCTTAATATACTTTTTTTTCTACTGGCATAGATTGAAATTGGAAGATACAGAACCAGACTATTTTTGAATTAGTATAATGTTGTAGAATTAACATTAATTTTTTCGTATATTCATATATTAAATCGTTTTTAACAAGTTAGTGGAATTCGTGTTTTCTATCAAATAATAAAATGTTCAGAAACGAATTGTATATACATTTATACAAATCACGAAATATTATATTATATCCATCATCTATATGACATTTTCAAATTTACTTTAGGAACCTAGTGAAAGGAAAATAAAATTTAATTATGAGAAAGTTGAAAATACTCGTAACCTATTATACTCTTATACAAAATGCAAATAGTGTAAAACTGTAACCTATTATCAACTGTATCTTTTAAACTATGGCAATATAGTATGGCGATGACAATGATGATTGTGCTAATATGATATTGATGAATTTGATAATGTTATTGATGACTTATCGAATATATTTTCGAATTATATTTTAATATTCAAAATTTGTAATTTTAAATTGAATGTAAAGAAATAGAAAAAAGAAATAATTTTGCTAACATTGTTTGCCATTATTTTACGTAATTATGTAGAAACGTACTTTATTAATGTAGTTTTATAACCCTTGTTATTTTTTAAATTTTTGAATGTAAAATTTTATAGAATTTTTAATAATATTATGTATGGTTAAGTATCCAAAAATTAAAATTAAATGTGTATACGAGTATTAAATGCCCATTTTATTATATAAAAAGGATTTCGTCGGTTTCAAAATTCGCTAGATATTTGATTCATGTGCTAAAGATTTACATACCATACAATATCTTTCTCTAAAAAATGCGTTCATTCAGACTCCTAGATCAGACGCCATCTGTTTTATAAATTTCTTTCTAAAACTTGCATAAAATTTACTATGAGTGTAAAAGTAAATATTTACCGGTAAATTGGTAGCAAATGCACCTAACCTAAACGCGTGGATTATAATAAAGAAGGAGACAGGAATGGAAAGGCAGGCAGGCGGAAAAACATTATAAATCAAATCGGTTTCTTTGTATATTGGATAATATTTTTTTATTAATCTAATAATTTGATTTTTCAGTGTTTTTTTTTTTTATATTCTTGAAATTCAAAAATTGTTTTCACGTTTCTTCAAAGTTATTTTGAATGGCAATAAATTTTCTTCTATTTATCTGTTGTTATAGTATGAGTTAAAAATGTCTAACATTTAGTACGTGATTTCATATTTTATTAGTTTTTCTTTTACGAAAAAAATCTCATACTGAATAATAAATAACTGTTTTTCTTTTTTTATTGTTTCTTCTTATTTTTTAAATAATTGTATGCACATGAATGTTTTTTTTAGAGAGAAAAACATAGGTATGCATTTTTTATTGCAATTAAATGAGTTTATTTCTTATTTTAATTTTGGTTTTTTTTGTTTTGCGATTTTCTCTCCACCTTTGTGCTTTATTTTAAATTTTACATATGCTGTGCAACCGTTACGCGCGATTATTTTTAAAGAGCTAATTTTCTTGTTTTTTTTGCATGAAAATTTGCATATTTTCTATTTTACTTTTTTTTTGTTGAATTTTTTCAAATGCTTTTGCTGCATTTTACTGCAAAAAAAAATCACTTTTATATATAAAAATCCCAATTATTATTCATTTGTTGTATCAAAATTTAATTTTAGGTCAAAAATAATTATTTTAAATAAATATTTAATTCCATTTTACCACACTTACATTTACAAATCTAGTATGTTAATAAATTTTAACTTTCTATATTAATATCGTGTAGTGTTTTTATATTTAGACGCAATAGAAAATTGTTGTTGTAAATATGGGAGTGGCGGCAGTTTTCTAATATGAATAATTTTATACTACATTCTTCACACGGATTCAAAAGCATTACTTACAGATATATTCCAAATACACTTGTAAACAAAAAAGAAAATGATACATTTATATAGAAATAGAATTCGAAACTTAGTGGTACTTCGAAAGTGACCATAATAGAATGGATCTCAACTAGTAGAATAAAGGAAAAAAGGGGACCTATTTTCTTTTTTATCGCTATCTTCCTTTCGTTCGAGCTATATGGCTTCAAAAGTGATTTTTCTATATATATATGTATATGCCATAGAGAATTAAAACATATGTATTTTGTTGAAATGAAAACAAAATTGGTTGTTAGGATTTAAATTATTAAACAGCCTATAAGTCTTAGGAGTTGTACTTATATTTACATCAAAGTAAGGAAGCTGAAAATGAACGAAATGCCAACCAATTTGTTATTATTTTGCACTATTTATGTACCAAAATGTTTTATGCTTACGCTTATTTACTTTTATATAAAGTTTCATTTGAATGCAAATAAAATAAACGCTTTCTTAATATATAGTCTCTCTTAATAAAGTCTCATTGCAATATGTTACTTCGCCCATAGCCAAAGTCATAATTATATTACGATATAAAGTTTATGAATAGATTCTTTTGGGATTTGGGCTTCAAACAGAGTAAAACTGTAATAACAAAATTTTTTCTAATTTTTTGTTTTTGCAATTGTGCAAAAAAAAATAAAACCGAACACTTCTTTAAACGTTATCCAAAAAAAGGAGAATTATTCTTCAACATCCAGATTACTCCAACTCTATATATACGTATGACTTAAAAGTTAAAAAAAATCATAGTTGTAAAAATATATCTATATAATTTTTAACTTTATTATTATATTTATTTTTTTTTCTAAAAACAACAGCATTGTCTGCCCTCAACCTATTGACTTTCCAAATTTTTCCTAACATCTTGACATACTCATAAATTTTGTTTTATTTCCGATAATTTTTCCATTTTTCAAAATGTAAAATTTCCTTATCTTATATGCAATGTAAAAATAAAAGATTTTCATAATATCCTACTGGTATTATCCTTATGCATGCATATTGTCATTGTATAAGGATAATAGTCTAAAAAATTTATAATTTTTCTTTTTTAGTGTGCAATAATAAAACAAAAAACAAAAAAAAAAGAGAAATACGAAAACTAAAAGTAATTGAGAAAAAACAAAACAAATTAAAATAAATGAAAAATGAGAGAGCACACTACGTTTACTCACATATAAAAAAGATAAAGAATAATGCAATAAAGAGAAAAAACAGAGAGAAAGAGAGAGAGAGAAATGTATTTTTTTTGCTTTGTTGCATTGCAACCATGTGTGAGTGCATATCATATAGTGCAGGGTTTGAAAAATAATAGAATAAATAGGTTTATGAGTGTGTATGTGTTTGTTTTACTAATTTATAGAAAATAAGCAATGAAAAGCTAAAATATATTTGGTGACTTTTTAAAGAATTTTTTCATCTTTTAGGATAATTTTTTTATTTTGTTCATTTAAATCTTTTTTTTTCATATTTTCCTTTTTTTTTAAATTTTTTTTGGAAAATTATTGTTTTAAGAAGTTACAAAGGATTTAGAAAAGATAATGGCCGTTTAAATTTGCTACTAAAAAAATGAGGGTCAACCAAATAATTTGAAGCATAATGTTGAGAACAACTAACGGGGGTGATAGGGTTTAGTGAACTCGATTTAAAATAATATAATATGGAAAAAGAAAACTTTTAACAGTCAACATATTATTTTTTTAGTTAAAAGTTAAACTGTTTAAAATTTTAATATAATTATCGCAGTAATTAGTAGTCCATATTCATTTTATACTATAATCAACACTACGATTTTTGGCTTATTCGGCCAAAACCAATAATTTTAGATAAGTTTTCCCGTGTCATTCAAAATTTTTTAGAATCAGATTTTCAAACTGATAAAAAACCCTACACTAATCTGCAACAAATTTCAACTGAATTTAATTTGAAATTTTAAGTTTTTTTTTTAAATTTTCCACCATAAGGGATCATATACCCAGAAATTGTTGCAAATTTTCAAGCATATATAAAATAAATTTTAAACAAAGTGACATTTTAATTTAGTCGAAAAATTAAAGTTGCAAAAAATATCGACAGTAGAAAGTTTTGTGAACGGAAAAATGTTCGAAAGTTGAAATCATTTAATGATGGTGTTCCCACTCTCACTTGTTTAAACTAAATTATCTCATCTTGTGCAATACAAAATACTTATCTGAAGCATTTTAATTTACATTAATAAAATGCTATACCACCAAATATTATTCTTATATATTTTTTATTGTTGTTATTATTTTTATATATTCTCATATATAAATAAGTTTTTATTTGCCATCCTTTAACATTTGCTTATTTATTTACAATACCGACTATATAAACTTTATGTTATGCTTGTGGAAAAAATTGCAATTTTCTAGTGCATACAACAATGCGTATACCAATACAGAAACAAGTAAATAGTGTAGATATATTCTTTTTCGTATTACTATACTTTTAATGTAGAATATAGTAGCAGAAGTGTATTTTTTGGGAAACAAAAAGAAAAGAAAGTATATGAGAACAGAGAAACACAATTTTCGCATCACATATAAAAGCTGATACATATATATAATTAAGAATGTTCGTTTGTGTAAATATATTTTAAATAAATTTGTTTATATTTTAGTAAAATTATTTTACTGGCTAGGCAATCAAGACTGAAACATTTATTCTTAATATTTTCCTCTTATTTTAGCCATATTTTCTCCTTTACTTTATTTTCCTCTCTTTCTCTATGTTTTTTATCTCCTTTTTTCTATTCTTTTTAAGTTGAGTGCTACACGTTTTTTTTTCTATTTTTCTTTCTTCTTTTTGTTTTTTATAAAAGAGTTGCTCTCAACTTTTTAGTTATTCATAAAAATGTTTTATAGTGTTTAACCTTTTATCTTCATTTATTCTAATAGATTTTTATTTTTATGTAGGTGAAGTAAAGTGTTTTCGTACAAGAAAAATTGTATTGTTTTTTGAACTTTTAAATTGTACTTAGCAGATGGTATAAGAAGCCTGTTATTTGTCAATCAATGAAATCCATGAAATTCTTAAACAAACGTCTACAAAGGTTCTTGATAAAGACTTCAATTCAAAATCCCATTGGATTTGTTGCCAGTTGAATTCCGTAAATTCCAAGGGAAGTGCTCCACAGTATATAATAGTCCCTTAATTGGGGAAATGTACAAGTGACCCCCCTAGCAATATTATTTTCGATTTATTCAAATATGATATAGGTCTTTTTACAAAACCATTAATAAGGAACGAAAACTTTTGTATACCTCATTAACTTTTGTATATAAGATTATACATATAACAAAAAATATTTATTTCTATTATTTATAAGAGTTTCTCAAATTATATAGATATTTGTTTTAAATTTCCTTTTTAATATGGCAATATCTAATCTTGTTATTTTTCTTTGTACCCTTTCTCTGTCACAAATTTCTAAGAAAATCCTTTAAACAATTCATTTTATCCACTTTCATTTATTATTTCACTTTTGGTAAATAAAAAAATAATTATTTGTTTCGTTTTTTTCTCTTTTTTTTTATATAGACATAGAACGCACATAAATGAAATAACAGAAAAGAAAACCCAAAAGAAAAACTCAACCGGAAATTTCCTAGTACTAGAGAAAAAAAAAATACAAAACTTATTGAAATATTTTATTTTTGTCGCTCTATTTTAGCAAAGATATGATAACTAGAGGTAAGTAATAAGTAATAACTAATAAAATAAAATCCTAAATTTAATTCTGTTAATTAAATAAAAACCTAATTTAATTTTGCAATTCTCGAAGACAGTTCCGAAGTGGGTGAAATATGAACCTATGTTGAGCTTAAAATAAGATATAAAGTACACAGATATAAAAAAAATAAAATTTTCTTAAAATGTCGTAAAACCACGTTCCACGACTTTTGTCAGTTTTATTTGGCGATATGTCAAATTATCACATTCTTCTTGAATTGTTTTTTGGGTCTTGAAGTCTCACACAGCCGATTTTCGAAAAAATTTCCAAATAAAATTTGTAGAGCACTTTACAATCTCTAATACGACATTACTAGCCGGGATTTAAGAGTTGAAAGAAGGAGGAAAGTTTTTCTGTACTCTTTTAAGATATAATATTTGAAATTTCTCTGTATTCTCAATACAAAAAGGTGTATTACCGAACTTTTGACCTAGATGATTAATTAAGTTCCTATTTTATTATCATTTTCAAATATATTCAATATAACTCAATTTTATTTTTTTCCAGATGATAAGTTTCAAAAATGTGTTTAGATTTGACAATGACACCACTTCGACAATACACAAAACAATATTACAAAATATCAGCTGATATAATGATTATGGATAAAAATTCTATTCAAAATAATTTTTACCATTACTGCATATTCATTAAATCGTCAGTCTTACGATAAATTAAAAAAAACCAAAAGGTAAAAGAACTGAAATTAAAAACCGGGAAATATTAAATTTTAACCAAAAAAGCAACAAAAATACAACAAATAAAATAAATAATATTGATAAAGAAAAAATATTAAAATAACGGATATTAATATAAAAATTAAATACTAGATAACGCACACACGCATACTTGCACTTATACGTTTAAAAATGAAACAAAAAAAAGCGGAATACTAAACTAAAATATATAAAAAAAAATATACTAAAATAAGAGATTAAACTAAAAAGGAAGAAACTAAGAAGAAATTAAACTAAAAATTAGGATTGCAAAAAATCCTGCTACAAAAAAAGAAAAAACTTATATAAAAATAAAAATATGGTTGTTACACTATTTCGCACATATTATTTATATGGTAAGTTTGAAAATTTGATTTTTATATCTCTTGTATTTAGTTTATAATATTACATGCAGGATGTCTCCATACGAATTAAACCATATCATTTTATTGCCATATCAATAGATGCCAAATAATTTTTTTACAAACGTCCGGGACAAAATTTGTGGAGTTTTTCAAGACTTTTTTGTCCCAAAACCATATTATAATATTTTTTTGTTTCATTCTTCTTGCAATCTATTTTGGGATCTGATCCCTTAAACGACCGATTTTCAGAATTAAGGTTTATTAATTTACTTTAGTCAAAGTTTTAAACTTGTTTTATACTATAATTTTTTGAAACTAAAAAATGCTTATATTTTTTGTCTCTGGACATTTTTACCACATTTCTGGAGATTTCATTTCTAGTAAAAAAAATGTTGTTTTTTCTATAGTATGAATTTAACATGAAAAAAAGTGCTTATTAGTTTCACTCTGTCCGTCTGTCCGTGGACACATTTACAAAACTTCTACGCCCATGAAGATAGAAACCTGAAATTTTATAAGAACATAGATTTTTACTTTTTAGAAACCTTTTTCCGAAGAAGACCCCTCTAAAAATTATAGTCTACCAAAATCCAAAAAATGCCATTTTTCAATCATTTTCTGTAGCAAAACCAGAAAGATCTATGTTCTTTAAATTTTTTTGTTTTATATCAAAGAATGCATCCTTAATGTAGGCAATCTTTGAAATATATTCGTATATATGAATGAAATTAATTTTAATACTGAATTGAATTGGAAATACGGTGGATTGTTTTTAAAGGCATTATTTTCACTTGCTGAAGGGAAAAGAACTTTATTAAAGTATATTCTGAATAAAATGACATTTTTGCAAACGAGTCGGATAAAATATGAATTTCAGCATTTTAATTGTTCCAAAATTCCCGAGACTGGTCCTCGCAATAACCAAATAAACTTTATTTTGTAATGTACATAAAATGTATAATTTTTTTCCTTTTTTTTTCTCATACAGATCATATGAACAAAAACAATTTATTGCACATAATAAAAAGAAATACTGTCGTGTAATATTATATCAGACGACAAGAAAACCTATATTACATATATATTATACATATAAAATAATTAATATTTATTAAACTATTAATAATAATATGTATATCAATTATATATATATCACATATTAAAGTTTCAAATACATTCATTATTATATAATATTTTTTTTTAATTTTTTTCTTAAAAAAATAAAATATGTAAAGAAACACAAAAGAAAAGAAGCAAATAGATAAATAACAAAAAAATAAGAAAGGAAAAAAGAAAATTTAATTTTTGATTTTCCGCTTTTTTTCGGTTTTCTTTTTGTTTTTTTTATCTTATCTCTTTCACAAACAACTACCCTCTTCTATTCATAAAGTATAAATATATACTCTATATAATAATTTAAAAAAAATTATACATAAACGCTATTACAAATATACTGAATTACATATATATATATATATATTTAATATATATATATTTATACTATATATATTAAATAATATATATATATTAATATATATATTTAATTTAATGAATTTTTTTATATTGTTTTTAATAATATTTAAAGGGTTCCTATATATAAAAAGAAACGAAAAATAAAGCAAAAATATATACGTATACATATTATCTATATATATAGTATAATTAGGCTTCTAAAAAATTCATACATACATACACATATAAATAAATATAAAATTTAAAAAAAATTATTAACAAAAAACGAAAGAAGAAAACCAAAAAAGGGAAAAGCAGTAAAAAAATTAAAAACTTACGATCGTGGTACTTTCAAATAAAAAATAATACTCGCTTCTTTTCTTTTTCTTTTTTTCTTTTTTCTTCATTCTTTTTTTATTTATTTTTATTAATTTTTCTATTTTTTGTTTTTTTTTAATTAATAATATTTATTACTCAATATTTTTTACATAATATTAATTATAAAATAATATATATCGTTATTGTCTTTATTAATAATTATACAAATATATATTTAAATCAAATACAAATATATAAAATATTAATAAAATCAAAAAAAAAGAAAAAGAAAACACTAAGAAGAAATAAAGCAATTATAATTAGTTGTAAGGAGAGAAAGGACACTACATACGTAATGAAAATAATTCATTAACGCCGCCGTCACGAAGAGCAAATCTAAAGCAGAAACATAACAATAACAACAACACCAACAAAAACCAAATCAAAATAAGACAAGATTACAAAACCTAAGACAACACAGAGACAACTGTATAATATATTAATTTTGAATTTTTATAATAAAAATAATAATAATAATTAAAAGAAAAAAAACTAAATAGAAATAAAATTAATATACAATTTAAATTATAAAATATATAATTGATGAAATACACCATAAAAAAACAAGGGATATTATCTACAAGAAATAAAAGAAAGGAAATGTCGCCGTGTTAGAAAATCAGAGCTAAACAAAATTTACGCAATTCAAACACCAAAAGAAAAATTGAACCAGACAACCGATTAGAAAACTAATCTTATATATAATATTTAAAATTAAATATAAACTTAAAAAAAAACAAAAGAGAAAAAACGAAAAAAAGAGAGTTCTATTGGTTGCTCTAATAGAACAAAACATAAATCTCAAAATCAAAATAAATAATTTTTTTTACTCTTTAATTTTTTTCACACCACTTAAAAAATTCACACACAAAAACACTTTAGTTAGTGTGTTTAGCAGTTTAAATAAAAAAAATACAAAATACATAATAATACAAATTAATATACAATAATTTAAAACATATATATAAATAAAAAAACAACTATATAAAATTAAGAAGCAATAATAATAATATGGTAATTTTATTAATAGCAAAAAAATTAGCAACACAACAATGTAATAATAATAATAATAAAAAAAAGAAAAATTTAAAATTAATTTAAAACAATAAACGAATTAAAATAAATCAAAAGTAATATAGTAGGTATAACGTAATTATAAATTAAAATAAAGGTAATACTAAAGTAATGCTAAATAAAATAAAAGTAATACTAAATTAAAAAATAAACAAATAATCAAAAACAAAAAAAGGTATCGTTCTGTCTTTATCTTAATTGTATTGATAAAACAAAATAAAATTAATAAAAAAGCACTTTATTTTAATATTTTAACCAATAACATTTTTACAAATAAAGTTCAACATTAAAAAAAAAATTAACTAAAATAACAAAAAACAAAAAAAAAAAAAACACAAAAAAAAGAAAAACAAAAATCTTTTTTCAAAAAAACATACTTCTACTGATTCTACAATAATATTATTTTATAACCGCTCAACTGCAACCACAAAGTATTTGCGCGCGTGATAACGAAACAAGAAGTGACGATCAAAATACGAAAAAAAAGAAAACTGAAAAAACTTCTTTATAATTTTTTTTTAAAAGAGACATCTTTTACCTCCGTTTCACTTCTCCGGTTTACTTTATTGAAAAATATAAGGAATTATTAAAAAAACTTAAGGGAATTAATTAATAAATTGTGTTGATGAGGTTGTAGAATTTAATTTTTATTTTAAATTAAATTTTTTTGAATTTTCAATTAATTTTGGAAAATAAAATATATTTATAATATATTTAGTTAACACCAATAGCAATAATAAAATTTTTTCAATTATGAAACTAACAATAAAAAAATTTACCGTCCGAAAATTTTAATTTAAATTCTTTTCTTTCAAATTAATTATCAAAAATAAAAAACATTGCAAAATATTTATATTTATGACTACAACTACAATACTACATAACTACACATAAAACTATTAATAATTATTTAAATAATAATATTTAGCAATAAAGTATAAAAACAACATTAAATAAAAAAAGAAAAAGAAAATAAACACCAGAGTAACGTTAATAATATAAAAAAAAAAAAATTTAAAGTGAAGTGAAATTTATATAAAAATATTTTTTTTCGTAATTTTCGCGTTACCATATTGTAGTGGTGTAATTAATTAGAATTTTTACTACAAATTCTAACTCTTATTATTTAAAAATATTGATGATTAATATATTTAAATTTACTATTTTTTTTTCCGTTATTGCAATTCGCTATTAAGAATCTCGTTATTTTCAATTATTTAAATACATAAAAAAATCAAAAATAAAAAAAAAGAAGACGCACACAGGCAACAACAAAACTAAAGAAAGAAAAAAAGCAACTCTACATAAAAAATACCCAGCAGAAACAAACACAACAGCACAAAGATATTAAATACTTACTGAGAATTTCAACTAAAAGAGAGAATATTTTGTGTTCTCATTTTACGGCTTTTTTTTGTTTTTTTCTTAAATTTAATATCGAAAAAAATAAATAAAACACAAAAAAAAAACAAAAATATAAAACCAAAATAAAGAAGCAACCAGCAAATGTTTATACCTGATTCACTAAGAAGCTGTATGATTGAGACGGACGTTACATCATATCTACAGACACCATCTTCAGGACAGGTGCTTGTGCTACTCTTCTGCTACCAACCAGCCGAAATCCATATCATATGTAATTAACATATGTCATTAACATACAAACAAAAAAAAAAAAAAACAAAAAAAAAAAATTACAAAATAATTTTTTTCAATTATTATGATTTTTTTTAAATATATATTTAATTGTATATTATTGACGTGTTACAAAAAATTAGCGAAATGAGAATGTACACAATAAAAAAAGAAATAGTCAGGAAAATTATATAATAAAATAAATATTATATAAATTAAAGTAAAAAACAACAATCTGTATGAACGTTCGACTGTTTTATATAGTTAAGAATTTCTTAAAAGACATTTCCAATTAGATGATAAATTTTCTTCTACACATTAAACATTTATTTGATCAAATCTCCTGTCTAATTTAAATTTTTTTTCAATTTGATAAAAAAAATTTATTAATACTCGTATATTAATTGTTGAAGATTAAGGGCAATATTTAAAAGATCCTAATATTTATTTTTATACATAATAAACTGTTTATCTAACAATTTTTTTCTATTTTCGATTAAATTTTTTAATTTTTTCTATTTTTTTTATTTTTCCTATTTTTCAATTAAATTTACACACCAAATTTAAAAGATTTAATTCTTTTTTTTCCAAATATTTTTAATTTATTTTTAGTACCAACTCAATTTTGTTAATAGCAAAATAAATTTCTGTTGTAAATTCTTTATTCTTTTAGTACTAAATTTATTCAAATTACTTCTACTATTGATATTTAATATTTTAATCTAATTTTAAAATTTTTAATTTTAAAAATAAAAAAATCTAAAGTTTGATATCATTTTTTTATTTTAAATTTTTTTTAATTTGAAAAAAAAAAAAAAATAATAAATTGTGATAATGTATTAGTAATAATTTGAAAACAAACAAAAGACTTAAATGAGAAACTTTCGGTTTAAGATTGAAAAACTGATTCAAATTCGAATTAACTGTTTCATCAAATTGATTTTGAGTAATTTTCAGAAACGACTTTTTGTTCTACACGGCAACTCAAATGTCTCGAAAATTTTACTGCAGTTAAAGGATAAGAAGTGTTTTATTTTACATATAGCAAACTTTTTTTTGGAGTTCTCTTAAAGTCACTTCGACATTATACATAATATTGTTTTACTAACAAAAAATATGCACAATTTGTTATATTTAATTTTAGTTATTCACTTAATCCTCGACTAGCCACTCTCCTTTAGATTTAAAATCAAATTAATGATTGTACTATGGTAAAGGTAAATAGTCGAATTCAGTAAATGTAATTTACGAGTATAAGCTGAATTATTTGCAATCTATAATTTAAAAATGAAATTTAACTGTATAATGTCAATATTCTATTCGAACAACCATACGAAGCTTTTCACAAAAAAAAAAGAAAAAACAAAATAGAACGTTCATCCAGTTTGTGTCAATGTCAGAAAATATATGTGTGTTATATCTCTGTAATATTTATTTTTTTTTTTTTTTGATGTAAACTTATCTTATACCTCTCTAATATTGTGTTTTATGAATTTTTTTTTGGTTTTAACTTTTTTGTGTTAATTTGTTTGGGTTTTTTTTTGTGTTTCCCTTTAATGTCAATTAATTTTTTAATTACTAATTAAAATTTAAAGAAAAATTCAAATTATATTATTCAAATATATATATGAAAATTATATTAAATATATGAAATAAGTTTTTGTTTTTAATTTTCTATTTGTGTATATTAATTTTATTCTTTGAAATCAGTGTTATGGATTTTGTAATTAATAATAATTGCTAAATGTACCCTAACTCTAAATGTGATTTTGTTCTTCTTTTTCGATTGTTTTTTTTAGGTTTTTACTTTATTGATTTAATTTTAATATTAATTGTATCATAATATCAGAAATTACTTATTTTCCTTGTTTTTGCAATTATTGATTATTTCAAAATTAAAGTAATCTATATTTTTTAAATATTTTTTTTTTTTATTCTAAATAAAAAAATATATACAAAACACAAAAACCAATCAATAAATTGCACAAAAATTGCATAAGTATTAAATTAATTTAAATTATATAATTAAATTTTTGATAACTTTTATATTAAGTACTTATTACTTAAGTACCTTTTTTTATTATTGTATACTAATTAATGAAATTTCCCACTTTTGTTACGTTAATAACGATATAGTAAAAGTATTTCATATAACAAACTCTTTATTATATTTTAAATTAATATATTATAAGCTTTACAAACAACTCTTTATAATTAATTTATATATAAATATGTATATAAAATATATATATATGTATATATATATATATGTATATATATGTATGTATATATATCGTATATATATGTATACGTATGTATATTTTATTTATTTTGCATAATTTTAATCGTTGGAATATTTTCGTTTTTAAACAACTTTTAAAAACAAACGTTTTCGTTTTTAACTGAAGTTATTTTGGCAGTTATATACAGTTTGCGACTGTTTTAATTACACAGTTTACAAAAGTAAAGACAATTGTGTTTACATTGTGAAGTGAAGTTAAACTCTCAAAGCTGTATATTTTGACATTCGCATTTGAATGTAACATTTGATAACTTTGTTTCAAAATTCACCATCTTTATCGAAATTTATTCGTAAAATAACAAAAAAAGTCAAAAAATAAGTGAAGTTTATGGCTGATTCTGAAAGTTTTTAAAAAGCATTGAATTTTTTTTTGCTGTGTACGCTGCATTCAAAACACTTTCTGCACAAGCAACATTAAAACAATATTGATACTTCGCCTTAGATAACCCAGTTTTTACTGTATGAGAGGACGTAGTCATTTAACACAAATAACTGCCAATGTAATTCTAAATTTTTAAAAACATTCCTATTTAAACTGAATGTAATCAAGACAAGAATTCGGCCTGTTGCCATATATAATTAATATTATAAATAAATAATATTTAGTATAATTAATATAATTTTTTATATAAATTTTTTTTTTGTTTTTTTTTGGATTTTGGTTTATTGTCTTTTAGTATTTTAAATTCTATACAAACACATTTATTTTAATATCAAATGTTTACAATTTTTATAAACTATTAAAAAAAAGTTTTTTTAATGTACTTTATTCATGGGCATTTTTTGCAACACTATAATTACAGTTTTCTGTTTTTTTTTTCTTCCTTTTTTGTGTTTTTTTTTCTAATTAAATTAATTTCCTTCCAATGCATTCACTTATGAACATATGCACATATAATGTAGATATATACATATGCATATATACATGTGTATACATATATACTGCAATAAAAATTATTAATTAATTGAATATACATATAGTGTAATTTATAATAAAAGTACTCAAAAAATGCAGTTTATATTAAATTAGATTTCTTAATATTTTTGAGTATATATTTTTTAATTGAATTTTTTTATGATACGAAATTCATTATTTAATTTATCTTCAATTTCTTATATTTTCTAAATAATATAAAAATTTCTTCGGCTTTATTAAGTGCAAAACTAAAAAAGAGAAGTTTATTCTTCTATTATTATTAATTAATAATTAGTTATTAATATACCCGTCCACTATTATGATTACGAGTACTTATTAGTGATTTATATGATAACATTTTTTAAATCTACATATTATATGATGTATAAGAAACGTTTTTTTTTTACAACATGCATATTATGTACTTGTATGTAAATCTATATATATGCGTGTATATGTAATTTAACCCCATTTTTTCTTCCTTTTTTATATGTGTGTTAAAATTAAAAATTTAATTAAAAAATTTAAAAAGAAATTAACGCATTAAAATTTGAATTCATGTATTTTTTTTTCTAATCATATATAAGTGTAATTTTTTTTATATTTGTATGTAATTTCGGTGTTTGGTGCATTTATATACCTCTATATATATATATATATATTTAAACAGAAAAGAAATATATTTTTTTTTTATTAATATTCTTTTTTTGTTTTTTTTTTTTGGAACTTTTTCTAATATGCAAAATATTTACAATTTAATTTTTTAACATTTTATTTCTATAATAAAAAACAAATCTAAAATGGCCATATAACAAATTTCTTTTTTTCTTTTCTTCGCAAAAGTTGTTAGTGTGCAAAAGTTTAAAAAGTAATAAAAAAACATAAATTAATCTAAAATTTGAAATTTTAAAGAAGGATTAACTAAAGAAATAATTTAAGTAATTAGGTATGAATTACTTTTAATGATTATTCTTGATGATTACATTTTAAACTTTTGCACTTTTTTGTAGTTTTTCTTAAACATCTTTTTATATAAATTATTTTTTATTTAATTTATTTTCTTTTTACAAATCTTCGCAATAACGTTATTACCGATCGCATTTGCATGCAATCAGGTGGTTATGTGATCACACCAAATTTCGAATATCGAGTTTTGGATGTAAACACATTTCTCAATAGTGAGAAAGCGTAAATAAATTATTTTTAGCAAGATGTCGGTCTGTCGGCTTAACGGTCTATAACGGTAAGACGGTGTTATATTTTTAATGATCTTGAAGAAAATATTTAACAGATTAATAGATTGAAATTCTATATATGAGCTTCGTGTGATAATACAAGAAATCACCTGATTTTTGAACAGATTACGTGCATGGTGGTAAACAATGAACGTGTAAAATTTTTGTTAATATCAGGGTTCGGAAACAAAATTCAAATTTTTCTAGATATATATTCACTAAAACCAGACTAGTGTCCTTAAAATTTGAAAGAAGTATTTAAAAGGCATTTTCAAAATCTTATACAGCATTTTCGCTAAACTAGACAATACAGATTGCGGTCGGTTACGTGCTGATCACATCAGATTTCTTTTTTATAACAAATTATTTTTTTATGTTTAATTGCTCTTTTTACCTCTTTCGCATGCTAATGTGTGTTCGTATATATATGCGTGTGATTGAATATGTACATATAAAAATTATACTAAAATTTTTTTTAAAATTTTTTTAAATTTTGTTTTAAAAACAATTAAAACAAACAATTTCTAATTACATTTCTAACTAGATATTATGGAGAAAAATGTCAAATATCAATTAAAAAATTTAGTTTTTTCGGAACTTGGGGTAATACTTAAACATATTTAAAAAAAATGTATTAAGTAATGTAACTTTTCTTATGTGTCCTGAGAAACCTGTTTTAGGGTCTAGCGCTTCCTGGTTATTTCCATTTTAAAAGATACCATTACAGAGGTTTTCAATATACCTTACCTTTAATAAAAATTTTTGGGGATCCGAATTTAAAAATTTCCAATCTTTCGTCTGAATTTAAAAATTTCCAATGCCATAGTTGTTAGTTAAATTAAGACTACTACCTGAACTCTTTTTATATCATTCACACAGAATTTTTTTTTATCGACCGGAGGTCATGTGATGGCACCAAATTTCGAATGTTGAGTTTTTTGTGCAAACGCACATCTCCATAGTAGGGAAGCGCAAATGAACTTTTTTTAGAGACATATGTCGGTCTGTCTGTGCATGGGTGTATCTTAAGTTCAGCTGAACTGGATTTTACATTTTTGCTCATATAAAGAGAAATAATAAAACAATTTATCATTTAAATTCGATGTGTTAAAACAATCAGGCTACAAATTTGTTTAGAAAGATCAGAGCTCGGGAGCCGAATAATGGACTGATTATAGATTTTTTACTATAAACTAATTAATGGAACTAATTAATGAAATTTCTTGAAATTTAAAATTTGAGTTTTGTTTGTTATCAAGACTAACTGACAAATTTTTCATGGAATTCGGATGACACAAAGCAAAACTGTACTATGGCCGAATTCACGGTTTTCGAAGGAATGTTAATCAAAAGCCTTCTAACGTCCTTAAAATTGTAAAAATGTGTTTAAAACGCATTTTCTTGATCTTCTGTAATACTTTTACTTAATTAGACAATATAGATTACGATAGTGTATATGCTGACCACATCACATTTTTTTTATTGTGAAAATGCATTGTAGAATAACAAATAACACTGTGACAAAAACCCATATATTTTAAGTTTTTAATTTAAAAATTTAACGCTTTCGTGCTGATCATGAAATTGTATTATATTAATTAATTAATATTTGATATTTAAAGACAATATTTTTTTCTGTTTTTCGTTTTCTTATTACTAATATGTGTCCGAATTTTTTTATATATGTTTGACAATAAATATAATCCAATAATTGGTAAATTTTTGTAATTTAAAATTTAATATTTTTAATGAAATTTTTTCACGTTATTTGATAGTTTAGATGTTGTGTTGTTTTAAATGTGTGCGTTTTCACTAATTAAAATTTTCTTGTTTTTCTTTTTTAATTTTTTTTTGCGTTTTATTTTATGCTTTTATATCAAATTTATTTTATGTAGTTAAATGATAACAAAAGAAAAATGCTAATAAATAAGCAAATAATCTTTGTTTGATGTTGTTATTGTGTTTTTACCTTATTCTTTTGTTGTTATTTTCTTATATTATATATATGTTTCTCTCTGTGTAATTTATATATGGCTACCTTATTTGTGGGCAAAAAATTTTGAATATGAATTTTAAATAATTATTTTTTTTTCTCTCTTCTTTTTTTTCATGAATCCGATTTCCGGTTTCTGTTATTTTCTTTTTTCTATTTTTTCTTTCTATTTCTTTCTCTCACTCATTTTTTTCCTCATCTGTACCATTTTTCTAAAATAACTGTGCTGAATCAAATTGGTGAAAATTGCAATGGAACTGGTGTCAACGCCATTTTGTTATCACCTTCAATTAATATGTCGCATTTTGATGAATTTTTTTGTTTTGGAAATTTAGGATGAATTTCATCCGTTCATCGAAGCGTTATTACCATTCGTTAAATCATTTTCATATACATGGTTTAATTTACAAGCAGCAAAAAGAAAATATTATAAAAAACATGAAAAACGTATGTCACTTGAAGAAGAGAAACATTGTAAGGACGAATTACAGGTAAGATTTTTTTCAGTAAAATTAAATATGTAAGATCGTGATATGAATCGGAAAGATGTCATTTTGCAAAAGTAGCCAATTAAAATAGGTAGTCTAAAATTATAACAAATTTGAAAGAAATATTAAATTGAGATTGAACTTCTCTCTTCTCGATTGAAAAGAGTTTAATACAATAATTTAGCGATAGAAAACCAATATTTTATATATTAGAGAAAAATAAATGAATTTATTTTTCGAATTTGTTTTTAAAATAAAAAATTTGCAAATTCACCATCAACTTCCTTCTAAATTTAGGAATTAGTAGATAAAGCTACTTAAAAAGTATCTTTGGTTTTAGTGTTGCAGTAATACGCTATTTTTACACAATTCAGTATTTCTGCATTTCTTGTGCATGAATTCAGGAAATAATTAACGTATTATTAAAAATTAGTTATTCATGTTAATGAAATCTTAATTTTTTTTTTATTTTTTATATTTTTTTTTATATTTTCATTTCTAGAATGAAAAAGCAGAGGTGAAACAAAAATGGGCATCTCGCCTTTTGGGAAAATTAAGAAAAGATATTACACAAGAGTGTCGAGAAGATTTTGTACAAAGTATTACTGGTAAACGTCAATCGATATGTGTATTATCAAATCCAGATCAAAAGGGTAAAATGCGTCGTATAGACTGCCTACGTCAAGCTGATAAAGTATGGCGTTTAGATTTAGTTATGGTGATATTATTTAAAGCAATACCATTAGAAAGTACAGATGGTGAAAGATTAGAAAAAAATCCAGATTGTACACATCCAGGTTTATGTGTTAATCCGTATCATATAAATGTATCTGTACGTGAATTGGATTTATATTTAGCTAATTTTATAAATACACATCCACATGATATATTATTAAGTCCACCGGTTTATCACCATAATTATAATAAAACGAAAGAAGAAGATCGTAAACAGAAAGGTAAGAAAAAATGAAATGTAAATATTTGAAAAAAAGAATTTTTTTTTTTTTTTGTTTTACCGAGAGGAAGGGTGAAAAATCTCGAAAGACACTGCCAGACGAAAAGCAGTAGTGTGGAACTTTAATCCACTAAAAAACACCCTCCTCAAAATAAACTATAAAACTAGTCGGAACGACTAACCATTAATTTTGCTCTAACTTTTTTGATTATTTACAAGCTTTTGATCTGACACAATAGTGTACTAAGTACTCATTGTTCCAGATAAAAAACTTTAAACTAACTCGAGAGGTCTCGTACGTTTAAGTCTCCTAACAAAGTTTTAATCGTCAACCAATCGAGCCGCCTCGATGTTGACATGATTGGATGAACGCATTTTATGATTGGCTGCTTGCTTTTTAATTTCGTCTGTTACACTTAGGATCGTGAGATCCCTGTGTATATCGGCATTACGGACATACCAAGGGGCGTTTACAATGTCCCGTAATACCCTATTTTGAAATCTTTGTATAGATTGGATATGAGTCTGCGCAGCGCAGCCCCACAACTGAATACCGTAAGCCCAGACAGGCTTAAATATTTGATTATATATCAAAACTTTGTTGTATATTGTCAATTTAGAACGCCTCTGTATTCAAACTTTCTGTATTCCTCCTCTAATTCCTCCTCTAATTCTGCATTCCCTCGGTTTGCATCTGGTGCAGATCGCAATGCACCACATTTTTTTTTATTATTATCGCCGTTCCGCCCTTCGCTATATTTCCAGGATGGTTCGAGTTGTAAATTCTATAACCTGGAAACCGAATCCTGCTTCTTAACAGAGCTGTTCTAGTTGGCTAAATTTTATGTATGTCAGCATTCTGATCATCACTTTTTTTGGCTTGAGCTTTACTCATGTTTATATCTTTATTGGTCTGTGGAGCTTGAATGTTCGGTAGTCCACCTTTTATATTTTTATTCTTTTCTAAAATCCGCACATCAGATGAAGGTGGTGAACGTCGGGTTTTCGCGTTCCTCCTGAACGGATCAATCAAATGCAATAAATGGCTCTCCCCAGAATCCGTAGAGCCGACCTCCGAAGAGGGTGGATTCTCCAGCGTGGTTGAATTACCATCTGGGGTACTAAATCCTTTTGTTTTGTCCATTGCACAAATGATTAAATTCTGCCTTTTATACCTACTGCCAGGATTCAAAAACTGCCGTCCCTCAGGGATCAAACGCAGACCAGGGAGCCGCCTATTCTAGGTCAGACGCTTCTGGATTTACCGCCCGCGCGCTTCCTAACCAACGAAACCCGGATTAAGCGCCGAGTACTCGTTTTCACCCGCTCTCGTCAGCCTTACTAAGTAAGTTGCCCAGGAGACACCCGGCAGATAACTATGTTACCTACCTTCTAGGAGGTGAGAGTCGGATAGCCTTACTAAGCAAGTTGCCCAGGAGACACCCGGCAGATAACTATGTTACCTACCTTCTAGGAGGTGAGAGTCGGATTTGTTGGCAGAGCTGATGTTTTCAGAGGGATTCAGGAATGAAAAAAAAAACTGAAATAAAAACAAGTAAAAACATTTAAGTCGGTATAAACCGACTGAATAATACCCTGCACTTTGACAATCTGAGTTTAAAAATTTGTTTTTGAAATATTTAGAAATAATTTTGATTGCTAAATGGCAATTACTTGAACCTGTCAAACCATTCAATAGAAACTTCACGAATATGATGTCTGACCTATATGTGGGCACACGACGGCCGAGTTTCATGAATCTAGGTTTATTATTTTTCCAAATATTTAAAATTAACTTTCGGAGTTATATGGCAGCTACCTGAACCTGTCAAGCAATTCCATTAAAATTTTCAAAATATATGTCAAGTGTAATTGGACAGATCTTTGCAAAATTTTATATTAATATCTTTATTGCTTTTTGAAATATTTAAAAAAACCTCTTTAAGTTTTATGGCAGCTACCCGAACCGGTTGTCCGAATTGGTCCAATTACAATAGCAGCCGTCTTTGGCATAAAAGAAAAAACTTGTGAAAATTTGGTGTCGATTGCATTATTTGCTTTTAAGTTATCGTGCGATCGGGCAGACGGACATGTCTAAGTCGACGCAGAATTTTACGCTGAGCAAGAATATATATATACATATGTCCATAAAGGGACGACTCCTTCGAGTGGTTACAAACTCCATACCAAAGTGAATATACCCTTCACGAAGTGCATGGGTATAAAAATTGGCTTTAAAATTGCAGTAATAATTATTACAGCAAATTTGCAATAATAATTATTACACAATTCAGCAATTGTACAACTCATAAGTTAAATTTAATATTAATACCGTATTGCTGCACTTAGTTATGTCAGAACGGCTTTCAATAAAATTGCGCTTTGCCATTCTTATTTTTTTTTTAAAGAATTAGAACAACAAAAATCAGAAAAAAAAATAAAAATTCTATTTGCATAATGGCAGAATTTTAATTCTAACAGAATTTCTAGATGACAGAAATATGGTATTAATTCATTAAGCTTTTATGAATTATAACTGCTGAAAACTTTGTGGCCATAAAGTTGTATTGTTATCTTGAAGATACGAGCTTTGAAAATTCCAAAATGAATATGAATATTTATTTTTTTTATTTCATATAGTAATTTTCATTTCTTTGATCTATTTAGTTACAGGTTTTACACATAATCCATATAATGGAGTCATATGTAATGATATAATCTTGGCTACTGGTGTTTTTTCTTCCAAAGAATTATGGAAACTTTCAAAATGTAAGCAAAACAAAAAACAAAAATAAAAAAATAATAATGTATTAATTTATACAAATATATGTAAATTTATATAATAATAATACTATTAACTAAAACATATTATAATTATATTTCAGCATCAATTCTTGATGAAACAAATGAATTGATTCACCAAGCGAATACAACTAATATTAAAATGGAAAATGTTGCCAGCACATATTACTGTAACAGTTATCCGTTAACAACAGCACCTGTACCGAGCATAGTTTCAGCAGTAACTGACCGTTCTTTAACATCATCTATGGTAGTATCAAGTGGTTATAGTAGTAAGTAATTTAAAATGTTTTTATATTTTTTGTAATTATTCCCTTTCTTCAAAATTGCAGTAATACGGTTTTAACACACAATTCAACTTATGAATTTTAATTGTTGAATTATCAAGAAATACAGTATTAACGCAATTTTGATGTTATAGATTTATAATATTTGTAATATAAGTTTATGTAGTAATCGAATTGTTAATTTTTAATATTTCACATATCATTTTTCTTTACATTAAAACAAAAAAAAGTTGATTTAGTTGATCCTAGATCAATGCATTTAACGAATTCCCCATTATTGCGAACGCAACCCTCATGTAAAACAGATCCATGTTCAACACCACCAAATGAAACTGGCAGTAGTTTTTCTGTTATATTAAGACCAACACAAGATCAAGTCAATAGTAATAATCATACTGGTAGTGGTGGAGGTGATCCAATACCACTACAACGTTATACACCAACAAGTGCAACATCTAGATTAGTTTCTGTTAATCAATCAAGGTCGAATCAAGAAGGTAACAAAAAAAATTAAAAAGTTTATGTACAAAAAAAAAATCTTATATTTTATATACCATATATAATTATACAGTTCTGTTGCAACATAATCCAACTGGTCTTATATCACATTCAATAAGTCCTGGTGCAACAACAATATACTATCAACATAACAGCCCAAATGATCCTCCTGATGTTTGTTCATCAACATCAAATGATGGTAATCAACAACAACAACAGCAGCAACAGCATCATCACCATCCACATCATCATCATTCACATACACAACATCCTTCAGTGGTTGCTTCAACAAAATATGTTGAACAAACTGTAAATGGTCATGATACATTAACAGATTTTGTAACATTTGTTTGTCAAGAGCAGCAACAACAGCAACAACAGCATGATCCCAGTAATAATTCAAATCAAAATTCATCTGATCAATTCCAAGTTCAAAATGTTGGTGTTAGCCGAAATAGCAGTACCGGTAGTAGTGCAACATCATCAAAAACTTCATCATTACAATATCCACAATATAGTACAATGTTACCACCACCACCATTGCCACCGATGGCAAGGCCAGTTGCTATTATAAGATCAACAGCTGATTTAACAATGGTTGGCTCACCACCGTCATCCATATCACCACCGTCAGCAGCAAATACTGGTTCAATATCATCACCTCAATCACATCCGCAACAACAGCAGCAGCAACATCATCACCATCATCACCATCAGCAACAGCAGCAGCAACAACAGAATCGATCAGATACAAATGATCAACACAATTTACAGCAAACCAACACTAGCACAAGTAGCGCTGGTGGTGGTAGTGGTAATGTATCCAATTCTAATAATAATGGTGGTTCAAATAATAATGGTAATAATGGTGGTGGCAATAATAATAGTAATTCTAGCAATAATGGGGGTGATAATCAAAGTAATCCTGGTACGCCAAAAAATTCCAGCGGTCCAAGTGGTAGTACAAATAGTGGAAATAATAGTAAAAATTGTCAATCAACTGATATGACATCATCACCACCGTTAAGTCCACAAGACAATAATATGGACATTGTATGCCGAAAATCATCGTCATCATCATCTTTAACCAGAATTTCAAGTAATCCATATCCAACGGGAAGAGATTATGCAACATTTAATCATCATTTTCATACTCAATCATCAGCCCCGGTAAATTTTATATTATTTATCTTTTAATGATACTTTAAAAGTATTTGATCTTAGTTTTTCATTTCCTAAAATATTTATATAATATTAATATAGTATGAAATACTTTAAGTTTTAGGGGACAGTATGTTTATACCGAAACTTACATAACTTTTTTTTTTATTTTCATTTTAAATTAAGCTTTTGGGCTATACCAGCTCTATTTCAACAATGTCTATGTCGGGTGTTTTAAGTCCAACAAATTTAAGTTTATATTCGTCACCTGTTACAACGCCACGTACAACACCAAGAACTAGATGGAATCCACAATTTTTAATGGAAGAAGATTTTGGTATGATTACACATCCGGTTTCTAGTAATAATCCTGAAGTAAATTCAGTTATATTAATGGAAGAAGGTATAATATGTTCTTTAAATTAAATAATTTCTTACATATAAATTTATTCAATTATATTTATGATAAAGTTAAATTGTACATATTTAATATGTACAATTTAACCCTGTAATCGAAATTCCATAAATATAAGGTAAAAACCATATATATTTTCTATGAATTCAGCTTATTATGCAAGTGCTAATTGCTGAATTATCTAGTATTATAGTACCATTGCAATTTCGATAATTCAATTCAAGTAAAAATATAGAAAATTTAACTTCAAATTAAATAAATGAAAAATTATTTTATGATTGGAGGGTTAAAAATTTTTCATTAGTGTGAATTCATTAGAATTCCCATAAATTCTTTGCCTTTAATTTTTTTCGACTTAATTTTAATGAAATAATTAACTAATTTAATCAATTATTTTTAAATATTTACCCTTTCTTCTATTTTTTTTCTATTTATTTGATATTATTCAGATCACTCTTCAACGATTCGATATACTGAAGAATATTCATCGAGTAGAGACTATGTTACTTGATTCTAAAATTAATACGTAAATTATTTAGTAAATATATATATTTGTACATATAAAATAATCTCTGATTTTGAAATTACATTAAAGCAATAATAATACGAAATTCAAGGGCTATATTTTCTGAATTGTGTATTAGTATAGTGGTATTGTAATTTTGAAGTCGAGGATGCTATATACATACATATACAATTATGTTATTGTAAAATTAAATGTTTTAATTTATAAAAAAAGTATACTATGATATAAAATTGAGTTTTAAATATTCAAATTACATTTTAATAATATTTAGTATTACTAAAATAACATTTAGTAATGTATCTATATATATTTTGCATGCATATTTATATTTATTATTATTATACAAAGTAAATAAAAATAAAATAATATAAATTATAAATAATTATTATAACTTTGATATTACAAAAACAAAAAAAAATTAAAATTCACAAAATCCCTGACTTCAAAATTTCAGAAATAATGTATTAATACAAAATTCTGCTTATTATTTGTAATTGCTGAATTATGTTCAAATACAATACTACAACAATTTCTAAGAAGATAGGGTATTATTATTAATTTGTACATCTATACATATAACGTTTATTGTACGTAAAAGATTAAATTTTTTTCGTTTAATTTTAGTTTCTTTTTTATTAAAAATCTAAATATAAGAAAATCTTTCTTTGCAAATTAATTTTCACTTTATGAAATTTCATCAAATTTAACAAAAAATCGACAACAAACTGAATAAAAAAATAAAATAAAAAGAGTTGTTAGATTTTGTTAACTTTCCAATTAACATGAAAAATATAAAAAGTAAATAGCTGAATTGTGTAATAAACACAATTCAGCTATTTACTTATATCTGTATTACACAATTCAATTTTCAAATACTTTATTATTAAATTGTGTAATATTATACATTAATATACTGAAAATTCCGATAAACTATGAGGGATTCACATAAGAAGAAATTTCACTTTTTTTGAATTTTTAAAGATGTATCGTCAAACTTTTTATGTTATCAAGATATTTTTAAAAGTAAAATATCATTTTATATTAACACAAATTATATATATTCAAAATAAATATAATTTTAATTTCTACTTTAATAAATTAAACCAACTTTCGTTTTCGTTTCTTAAAACAGTATAAAGAATTCAAAATTGCCAATTATAATGGCATTATTGCACAGTTCAGCTTACGAAAAATAATTGCTGAATTGTGTTGCAATACAGTTTTATTGCAACTTTTAAAATTGTTATATATATAAAACATTTTATTTATATTAAAAAGATAATGATGCACTTTTATAACAATAACAATATAATAAGCCAGTTAGAATGTGCGCCTATTATATACTTACTCTGATAGTACCAGTATTGCAAAAAAAAAATACTGTATAATAAACTCAATTCAATTTATTAAAAGTGATAATTGCACTGGATTAATGAAAATTAGTGTCTAATATCAAGATAAAAATATAAACAACGGTTATGACTTGCTAATACATAAAATTTATAAAACAGAGCTGTAAATTTATAATAAACAAAGAAGAAAAACCAAAATTTAAACATTATTTTGATTTTGTATACAAAAAATAGTAAAAATAAATTAACCTATATGTATATATAATATATATTATATTATTAATTCTTATAAAAGAAAATTTTACCAAGTTTTATATAGTTTTTATTATAGTTAATAAGGAACTATTAGAAAAAAATAAGTAAAAAAAAACAAATTATTCGTAGTGTTTCTTAAGTAGAACTTAAACAAAAATAAATAAAAAACAAATAATGTTACAATTTATATATACAACAATAATAATACTGCAATAAAACTAAAATACAAAAAAAAATTAAAAGAATAATACGTATATAATGCCGTGATATATATATCTGAATATCAATATGTGAAATCAAAAATACAATTTTTTGTAAACTTCATACACATAACGTACATATATAGTATTAAATATGTATATATGAATCAAAATATTGATATATCTGAATATGAGTATATATAATATGAAATATTATATACTCTAATTAACTAAAACTTGAAATGTTATGTTTGACATATTTATAACCATTTACATACATTATATATTATTATCCCCTGGCTTCAATATTTCATTTTTAATACGAATTTAATTTAAAATTCAGCTTATGAATTATAATTGCTGAATCGTGAATAACAGTATAACATTACTGCGTTTTTGAAGTCATAGCATAATAGTATATATTATAATACATATAAAATAATATAAAATAATATATATACTTTTTAATATATATATTATTATATTAAAATATGTGTATAAGGTAAAATATCACATATATTGTATACTTATTTATTTGTTTCAATATACTAAACAAAAACAAGAAAAAAATAATAACAAGTGAATTAAATAGAAAATTGACAATAGTAGGTTAATAATAATCTAAACAACAAAAAAGAAAATACATACACTCATACAAGACAACTAAGCTATAATATATAAATTCTTTAAATATTAAAATTACAAAACTTGCACTTACATATATTACTGCTATATTACTTTTTATACATATATAAATATATACACCTGAAGTTCAAATTGTATTTTGCTATATTTGTAAAATTTAAACAAATTTTTTCGATTGCACTCCTGCTGAATTAAACAGTAATATCCTCTTTTATAATTTCAAAATTTACAGAAATTACAATATTTAAGCATAATTCAGTTTTTGAGAATGGCTTAAATAAGTAAACAATATCGTATTACTTTGACTTTGAAATTAGATATTTAGTATTAAAGCATTTTTAATTGCATTATAATATTATAATATATATTATAATATTATATTATTATAAATTATATAATGCATACGAAAATGTTTTTGAAAAATAGTACATTATTTTTTATAAAATAAGTTTTAGTTTAATCTGCTATCAGCAATTTACCTCTAAATTAAATTGGATTAAGAAATATGGAAGTCAGTTTTCGACCGTTCGCCAATCATAAATTTTAACAAATTACTATGATTTTTTACCGTAAAAACCCTGTTTAATTTAGATCTGATCGAAGAAGTGATTCGAGTAATGGAGTTGATATTGGTCAAATCAACCTTTTCTCGTGGAATATGAATACTATTACTGCAATTTCAATACCAGGGGAATCACCTATGATTTCAAAATTGCAGTAATATTTTATTAATATGCATTTCAGCAATTAAAACTCCCTATGCAATTTGGATTTCAGGGACATTATACAATTTATACAATCTTACTATTTTATATTATATATAAATTAATTTATAATATTATATTAATGTTATTATAGTACATACACATTTAAAAAGTACACAAATGTGAATTAAAAAAAAAAACGAATTAATACTTTACTATACAAACAAAATTATTTATAAACACAAAATAAAAGTGGACATTTGCTTACTCAGCAATACATTTTTAATTGCTGAATTATGTAAATTGCTGATAAGATTTCATTGAAGTGTAAATGTCCAAATATATATTTATTGCAAATTACATCACATAACTGCTATATATAAGCTATTATTTATATATGTAAATGTTACTTACTATACACGTATTAAATTAAAAATTTTTATGAAAAAAATTGAGAAAAAGTTACTAAAACGTTTGTCAATAATTTTATGATATAAACAATATATGAAATTACAAAAAGTATTTTATACATATGTATATATATAATATGTATATTTCTAGATATACTTATATAATTGAAAATTAAATATTTTTAAATAGCAAGAATTTAATATGTATTATATACATACATATATTCCTGACTTTAAAATTGCAATATTAAGGTATTGATATACAATTCTTATAAGTTGTAATTGCTGAATTGTGCAGCAATACAATATTACTGCTTTTTTTAAGTATCGGATACATATAAATAATATATTCTTCATAAATGTCATAATTTTTGTTTCAATGCTTTTTTTTGTTTTGTTTTATTCAACTTTTATGAATATTGAAAATACAAAAATATTTTATAAGTTTATATATATGAATTTTATATTTATATCTTCTTTTTAACATATAAATATATTAACATATATTTTTGATAATGGAGAAAGAGAAAAAAACATAACAAAACAATAAACTATATAGAAATTCAGTTGGACTGTAAAATTTTACCAAGTGCCATCAAAATAAAAAAAAATAAAGAAAACATTATGTTTATTATTAAATAAAAAAAAAACGAAACAGCCTTTTTATATACATTGTTAAGAATAGTGATAAAACAAAATGAAAAATATTTCCCTTATATAAGTAATCCCGTTACAAAGTTACACACAAAAACAAAAAAAAACTAAATGGATGAAAAAACAAATAAAATAATTAAATAAAAAAAATAATTAAAATTGAAATAAAAGACAAATAAAGAAAAAAAAGTATCCAAATACAATTATACAATTACTTTTATTAAAATTATAAAACAAAACATATGTAGTTACATTCAAGCAAAAATTAAAAAAAAAACGAATACACTTATATGCTAGCCATCTTTTATTTTATATTGCATATTCTTATCATTTCAAATTTTTTTGTTTATTACAATAATTAAGTTCTGAAATAAATATCTTGTTTTTTAATTTTTTATAAATTATTAATGCAGTAAATATAATTCAATAATTAATAAATATGCACAAAATTATATTATGCACGGATATCATATTCTTTTGACGCTGAAATTTTAATTTCCGTATAAAATTTTATTTCAGGTATACAAATTTATCATTCAGTTTTATGAACTCTACTTGCTGAATTGAAATGGTCATATAAAAATCACAGTTAAACTGTATTGTTATACAATTCAGCAATTACAAGTCATAATATATGATATATAGCACTCTACAAAATGAATAAATAATATTTTTTTTTGTTCATTTCTATTAATATAAAAATTTTTGTAGTTTGTATTAAGTTAATTTTTTTAATATTATTAAAATTAACTAGAAATATAAATATGAAAATTATTACTTTACTTATTTCATGTCAATTACAAATTATTTATATAATAAGCATTATGCTAATATAAAGATATTATTAATTTTATATAAATAATAAAATTCAATGTAAGGTGAATTGGTCACTCACCTTTTTAATTGAATTTTATTAATTAAATTTTCATAAAACTTTTTCCAAGTTCAAAATTGCAGTAATAAGTGGTTATAGATTGTAATTGCTGAATGTTAATATGTAGTCATTGCTGCTGCAATTTTAAAGTCAACGCAATATATTTTTTTATAATAACTTATATAATATATACATATTATACGGTCGTCTATCAAAATTTAGATCAAATGTCAATTTGATTTATTCATAGCAATTAAAAGTTTATACCGTAAGTCATTATGACGTTTAATCTGCATTTTGGTAGAAGTATACATAGCACGGTTAGCATATAATTGTATTTATTTTTTGTTTTATTTAATATACGTACTTTTTTTTTATTTTTTAATACATTTTTTTTAAGAATTAACTTATTGAAATTATATATTCAATAGAGTTATGTATTTAACAGAATTTTACACAAATATTATAATCTGGAAAAAAATCATTATTACGTTATTAAAAAAAAAAAATATATATATATATATATATGTATAGATAATAATTAAGGAAAAATAATATTGTCGATTTTTTAATTTTAAAATTCAAATTAATTTAAATTTAGAGAGCTGAAAATATGCAATTTAATTATTACTGTAATAATAATAATCATTATAGTTTTAAAATTTAATTTTTTTTATTTCAATTTTTGATTATTTTTATTTTTCAGTATATTAACTTACTTTTTTTCTTTCAACTGATTTAATTTATTTATAAAATCTTTAAAAAAATTGTAAAAAATATCTATAATTTTTTATTTATTTTATTAAAATCATTTAGTTTTAATAAAAATGTAAATTAAAGATGAATTTCAAAATAATAAATATTAATTTTATTACTTTTAAATTCAAGTTGTTGTCTGCGTTGCGTAATTTCGCCCAGACCTGGTAACAATGTCACATGTCTCAAATTAATTTGATCGCAAATTGATTTTTGTTTTGGTTTGTCATATTATGACGTATGACAAAAATTCTAAACTACTTATGATCTAAATTTTAATTTATGAGCAAAATGTTTTGTTTGTAAACATTTTATTTGTTGAGCTTTACCAGTATTTTAATTTTGTTATTAGAATGTCACAAATTATATATCAAGATTTAATCATGTTTTAACATTTAACGTTCTTCTTAATTTTTAATTCTTATATTTATTTACTTTTATTACACTTTGTTTGTTTTAGTTTTTTTTTATTTAGTTTGTCAATTACACACGTATAAAATTTTGTATGTATTTTTAATTTATACATATTTAATTTTTTTATTTTAATTGAAAATAGAAATTTAGGAAAATTTATTTGATTTTACAAAAAAAGGAAATAATAATATTAAAATATTATGACAAGTATAATTGTAAAAAAAAAAAAGGTAATTACAATAATTAATTGATTAAATTTTTAGTACAAATTATTGGTCACAATTTGTACTTTGAAAAGACATTTTGCTTTTTGTTTTTTGTCTTCATAAAACAAAAAGTAAAACTAAAATTCATAAAAATTTATATAAAAAAATAAAACAAATATGTATATACATATTTAGATATGAAAAGGCTAATATTGAACAAAAAAGAAAATAATAAGAAAACAAAGCAAAAAACATGTTAAAAATAACAAATGTGGTAGCAAATAGAATAATTTAAAACAAATAAACTATATAATTAGATTAAAAACAAAACAAAAAGTAATTTAAGTTTTAGTTAATAGTTTCTAAAATCAAAAATAATATATATATATATATATATATATATATATATATATATATAATATATACATACGTATATGAATGATACAAATTTAGTAGAAATGTTTGAAAAAATTAAAAACAAAAAAACTATACATAACACATATACAAATTTTAAAATATTTAAAATATTTTAAAACAAAATTATATTACTTAGATGAAAAAATTACAAAATGAAAAATTTTTTGTAATTATACAACATTAAAAAAAACGATAATAAATTATATATATATAAAAAAAAGTAATTTAGCTTAAATAAATTGAGAAAAAATAAAATAATAATAATAATAATAAAAAGTATATTATGAAACAAAAAATGTTTTAATATTCACTTAACAAAAATATCATTTAATATAACTTCAAGAATGAAATCAATCCTAATATTACGCATGATTTTAAGAAAAAATTCTCTCCAATATCAAACAAAACTCGTGAAAAAAGAATTTTTTGGTTTCAACATAAAAGGTAAAAATATGAACAAACTAATTAAAATTTTGTTAAAAAATTCATAAATATAAAAAAAAGGAGAAAAAATATAGTTGACCGTGTCAACTCTGTGATACACATACGAATATTTACCTTGTGTGCGAGCTATAGGTCAGACTATGACTTTAAAATGCCGTATTATCATATTAATTTATACAACACATAACAAGCCCTAATAATACACTTGTTTTCACGAAATAATTTTTGGAGTTGTATGGCAGCTTTTGCAAGGACTCATGATATCTCAACAACTTTTGATGAATATAGCTGTCATTTTGCGTATTTTATTTTTCAAAATTTTAGCAGTGTAGGTTGAACAGTTTTTAAGATATAGCCAAGTAACTTTTGAGGTTTTAGGGCAGCTGCCAGAAGGAGTCAAGTATTTCAATGACTACTATAATAAATCATTTGTGAAAATTTGGTGAATTTAGCTCAATTAGTTTTTGACTTGTTTTTGGGACGGACAGATGAACAGACGGACAGACAAAGCTAAATCGAGTCAGAATTCGATGCTGATCAAAAACATATACATACTTGAATTTATATCTCAGACCATTATTTCTTAGCGTTACAAACTGTAAGGCAAATTTAGGATACAATTGGAACATACGTTACGTTCGTACGGGTATAATAAGTTTGAATTAAATCAATGGTTTGTAAAGTGCCACTTTTCTCTTTTACAAGTGAAAATGTTATTTTTGCAAGCATTATTTAAATTACCCTTATATTAATGCCAAAGTGTTTTAAAAATTGCATACTTTCAGGTTCATAAAACAAAAAAAAATTTAAAGTGAGCTGAGAGAGGTATTTTCATTTTTTAATGTCATTTACCGTTGCATTTTTGCTCTTATTGAAATTTGAAAAAGTTTTCGAAATATAGGGCGCTAAAAATTCGAATTTTGGGAATTTCGTTTGGGAAAGGTTGGAAGGGGATAGAGGTGGAAAAAAATTTTCTTTTAACGAAGTAAACTATTTTTTGATAGAAACTTACCATCTAGAAGAAAAGCGATGTTTAAAATTAAAAAAAAAATGTTTAAATAACGGCTAATTTTAGTTGTAATTTTTTCATTTCAGTATTCAAATACAATGATATAAAAAGATGCAAGAATGCTGTGATAGAAAAGGAATATCGCTACATTCCGACTGTTGCGGAATATAAAAACATTTGTGGTTTCGCAACAATAAATAATGAAAAATATACTCGTATCATCATTAGAAATTTGAGGGGCTATAACTTTTAATATATTAAAAGAAAAATAACTCTAAAAATAATTTATGTTTATTTTGTGTTTCTTTCTTTTAATTAATTTTAAATATTTTAGTACAATACAAATTAACACGTACACAAATTCCTAGTATTACCCATGCACGACTAAACATTTTACCAAACTTTTTAGGGTTTGAACATACATATTTTCAATACATGTTTATATTCAATTAGTTCAATTAGCTCTAAAGATTTATCAGAATTTCGAAGGCAAAAAATACAGAATAAACATTACGTTATTCAATATGGTATAGACCTAATTTCAAAATTAACTAAAAATGTTGAAGCGTGAATGGGTAGTTTATAGTACACACTATAATCATGTACTCTATTATAATATATGTATGTATATATATATATATGTATTTATATATGTTTAACGTATTATAAACAGCCATTACCCCAACAGCCACACCATGGAATTTTACCTCCACCATTATGTGAAACATTTGACATTTTTCTTCTTGTTACATTTAAATTAAAACTAGCTGAAGATTCATGTGATGACGCTAAACTGTTATTGCTATTACGTTCTGATGTTGATATACCACCACTAATACCGACAATTCTGTTAACACCATTAATTAAGTCATTATGACTATCACCATAATTATTAACACTTATTGATGAGCTGTTTTTATGATGATTTATATAATAAGCTCGATTTGATTTTAAATTATTTGATGCATTACTATTAATATTTTGCTGTTGTTGTTGTTGCTGCTGTTGTTGATGATTATGACGATGATGACGATGATGATGATGATGTTGATTATGTTGATGTCCTGATATAATAGTACCTTCGGAATGACGTCTTGATGTTTTACTATTATCATTATTATTATTATTATTTGACAATAATGATCGTTTTGCCGTTTGTGTTGTACCATCATTATCTAGAATAGGAGAAAAAGAAAAATTTAGCAAAAATTATTTTAATAACAATGATTAGTTGTTAATATAATTTGGTTATTTTTTAACTGTTAAAAGACAACTTAGACCAAATACAGGGTATCATGACTTTATGCCGTAGAAATATACTACAACTTTTTTTACCAACGGCATTGTATGCAATAATGTCGAGTTTTCGGTGGGAACGCATTTTTACATAGTAGGGGAGCGTAAATAAACTACTTTTGGAGAGATGTCGGTCTGTGGGGGTGTGTGCCCTGCGTATATCTCAAGTTAGGCTGAACTAATTTTGATGAAATTTCATAAATGTGAATTCATTTAGGCTGTGGCACAGATTGCTAAACTTTGGTATATCAGACATCGGGAACTGGACCTTTTTGAGGGCTAATTTCACATTTTTGCGTATATAAAAAAAAAAAAAAACAACTAATTTCCTTGAAATTTAATATTTAAATTCGGAGTGTTAAAACAATGAATTACCGAAACTAACTGGTGAACTTTTCAGAGATTTGGATGCACAAATCCAAATTCTACAAAGAGTTAAATTTACACTTTGCTAGGTTTGTTAACCAAAAGCTTGCTAAAATCCTTAAAATTGAAAGGAAGTGTTCAAAAGGCATTTTCATAATCTTCTGTAACACTTTCACTGAACTAGACACAATATACATTCCGGTCGTTATGTGCTGACTACATTAGATTTTTTTTATTAATATTTTATTTGGAATCAGTATAGTACGTATAAGTATAAATTACCATTAATATCACTATTCTGACCACCAATGACACCACCAGTTGATAAACTTATACCCGATGTGCTACGTGATGATTCATTACTTAATTTGCGATTATTTTGGTTATAATAATGATTACTGTTACTTCCACGTTTAATATTATGATTATTTTGATGATAATGATTAAAGTGCTTATTGTTACTGAAACGTTTTCCAACGGAATGTGGTGAATTTGGTGTACTATGTATTTGTTGCTGGCATTCATTATTTAATATTATTGAATTTGCTGCATCTATATATAAAACAAAAATAATTATTTTAAAGTACCAAATAATAAATAATACCAAATAATTCTAGATGAGATTTTTGTTTTTGAATTTCAACCATATTTCCTGTTACTCTAAATAAATCATTTGTTGATGAACTAAAATTTTGATTCGCCTCTAATAATTTTTTATTCATTGCTATTAAATTGTCTTCCGATTGTGAAAATTCAATATCATCTTTCTTAAACTCATTTTTCATATTATAGATCGATTTATTTTTATCACGATCATTATTTTTGTCGTATGAATTTAAAATTGACACAGGTCGAAATTTTCTTATACTACTTTTATCTGAACCCGATGAACTCTGAAAAGCATAAAAAAGTAGTAGTGATTAGAAAAAAAATGAGTTTATATGCATTGCAAAAAATCCAATGCATATAAAAGTGTTCGATTGTATATATTGATTTGTTATTGGATCTTATTAAATTTAATTTACTTCATAATTAGTTTCCGATAATTTTGAAATAGTTGCAATATTATTTCTGTTTGATATTTCTGTATGAATGTTAGCTGTTGATGCTGTTGTAGCTCCTGTTGGTGTTATAACTGTAGTATTTGTTACAATTGGACTAATATTCTTTGGTTGAGCTTCTGGAAATACTTCTTGTCCAATTATTACATTTTCCGGTTTCTGCGGACTTTTTTTTTGATGTTGCAAAACTGGAATTACTAGAAAATTCAGATACATATATACATAAGCATATTTATAAAAATTGAATGTGTAAATACAATTATAACTTTGTTTTAGTCAATTAATTTTAGACCGTTGTACAATGATACGATTTCTTTAAATATAATTTAAACAAATAAATTGCTTTACATGGTTTATTAGTAGTTTGTTTCTTAAACATATATATATATATATATAATACATAAATGAGTATATATATAGAATAAATATGTATATGTATAGTCAGTTCAAGTTACCTGTCGGTATAGTTGAACAATTAATTAATTTTGAATTTGAATTAGTTGTTGTCGTTGTTGTTGTAGTAATTGATGGTTCGGTTATTGTTGTTGCTATTGTTGTATCAATTGGTAATATTGAATTGGATATTGATGGTAATATAATATTTTCGAAACCTAAATATGGTAATTGCGGTGGTAATAATGTCATTGGTTTTGGTAATGTTTCTGTACCAGAACTAAAATCAGGGCTTATTTTGTCATTACTATAGTTCTTATATAATATATTGTTAAATTGATCTAACTGTTGTTTTAATTTGTTATTAGTATTTGAATTATTATTGTTATAATTATTATTATTATTTTTATCGTTATTATTATTATTATTATTATTATTATTACTATGAATAATTTCTTCATTATTTTCTTCCATTATTATTATATTATTGTCATTATTTTGTAAATTAATATTACTTTCATTATTCTTATTATTATCATTTTCATAATTGTTATCTTTATTTTTAATTGTATTTATACAATTTGTTTTATTATAATTTAATACTAAATTTATTTCGGAACGATGATATGGTAAAATTTTATTCACATCATGCTGCGGCTGTTGTTGTTGTTCATAATTATTATCATTAATTACATATAAATTGTCATTAACATTATCATTACTATTATTACGATTTCCAATAAAAGTTTTTAACTGTTTCTTTTGTTGTTGCTGCTCCTGCTTTATATTGTCATTTATTCTTGCATCTGTTGATAGATTTTGTATATCAAGCAATAATTCTTCTAAATTTCCACCATCCTAAAAAAATCATTTAACTGTTATATCAAGGCTTTAAAATAAATGTTCGCTCAAAATTTAAATTAATTTTTAGGCTAATACAATACGGGTAGGTAGTTTGATGTGTGAACTATATTACTGATTTTTTAATATAATTTTAAATTTGTTACCTGAAATAAATTATCATCACATTTTGATATTGCGTTAATTTGTAAAATTTCATTGTTATGATTTCCTCCCAGTACGTTTGCTACACATATATCTGGTGGTCCAGTATTTATTTGAGAGATCGCTGATGATGTTGCTGATGATGTTGGTTGAGATTGTAATGATTGTAATGATGATGATAATGATGGTAATATTGAAAATGTTGAAGTTGATGAAGGTGGTTGTGTTTGTTTTAAAGTTATTGGTATTGATAAAGGTAATGATTGTGGTTGTGATAATGGTGACGATGAGGATAATGGGGATGATGATACTTCCACTGATACAGGATTCAATGATTGAAAATTTTTTGATAATACTAAATTTGGTTTATGTGGTGGTAATGTCTTTATTGCAACAATTTCGGAATTTAATTTTGTTGTTGTAATCGGTGAGAAAAAATGTTTAGGACTTTTTATTTCTAATTTATTATCATTTTTACTATTCTCATTATTATTATTGTGTTTGTAATGTTCATTGAATAAATATTGATGATCATTATTAATTGTAGATGATGATAGATTATGTTTACATGTTACACGGTTTGTATCTATAAAATATAAATTGAAATAATTTTAATATTTCATTTGATTTTAATATGAAATATACAATTATTGAAAACTTTTATTAATTAAGCAGTTAAAAACTAAACTTTAGTCGTTTTTAATGAAATTATTTATTTATTTTACTATTTCATACCAATAGTTAGTCCAAATTTCTCATCACATATATTTTCAAAATGTGATAAAGGTGGAATAATTGTTGTTATTGTTGTTGTTGTTGCTGTATCAGTTGATATTACGGCTGTTGTTGTATTTTCTAAATCTATTGTTTTTTCTTCTGTTATTATCCCTGTTCTTGTTGGTGATTTTATTAGTGTTGTATAACAACAATTCAAATCAAGTTTTTTATTAATTTCATTATTATCTTTCATTAATAATAATGATGATGATGGTAATAATGAAATTGGTGTGGTTGATATTAATTGGGGCAATGTTGTACCACGTATTAAACTTGTGTTATTATGTTCAAATTGTGTTGATAATATTTTCGAGTTTATTTGCTGTTGTTGCTGAAACAAAAGAAAGAAATATTTTAATTTAATTTTTAACAAATTTATCAAAAAAAGAAATGATTTTTTTAAATAATTTGTGTACCTACCTCAATATCATTATAATTATCATTTTTCTGATGATGTATAGATATATTACTGCCATCACTATTTGTTAAATTTTCTTCGGAAACTATTGATAAATGATCAAAATTCATCTGATAAAAATTATTATCTATATCATTTTGTTGTTGCGATGATTGCTGTTGTTGTTGATGTAATTGAAAATGTGGAGGTCTTTGTTCGTGAAATGTTGATAATTGTATTTTTTGTTGTTGTTGTAATAATTGTTGCTGAATATTTTCTGATGAATTATATATTGTTGAATAAAAATCTAAATTTGATGATATCGCTGTTGCTGGTGTTGTTGTATATGTTATTAATGATGATAAAGCTGTTGTTATTGCATCTGTAGTCGTTATTGATGATGTTGTTATTGGTAATATTGAACGTCTACGTATTGGTAGTGGTGAAGAAGTAACTATTAAACTATTACCGCTTTCATTCGAAGATGATACATTTGTTGGTGGTACAGTTTTTGTTCCATTATAATAATAAATGTCTTTAAATTTTTCATTTGCTGAATCAATTTCATGGCATGTATCACAGGAATCCTTAAAAAAAAAAAACAAAATACTTTAAAAAATTACAATAAAATTTTTTTTATTTTTCAAATTACCTCCGATTGACTTCCACTATTTAAATTTTTATCGCCTAAATTTTCACTACTATTACGATTTGTATTCAAAAATTGATGTAATTTATCATATTCATCACGTAAATTCCATATTTCGCGTTTCAACTGTTCATTTTCTCTACGTAATTTTCTAATATCGTTTTGTCCTGTTTTTCATAAGAAACACAAAAAAAAAATTTTAATTTAAGTAGTTTTAGTTTTACGAAAAAAAATTAATGAAATATTCACTTTTTCAGTAATTAAAGAACTATAATTTTTTTACACAAATTGCGATTTGCTACAGGTGCTTCATTTGGAGGCATATTCATTCATATAATTTTGATTATATTACATGAAGGGTCTCAAAATTCTCTGTTTAAATGCTACATTATGTATTTTTTTTAGTTCATTTAATAAATTTAAGTTTACCATTTTTCAACTCAAATTTTGAAATGTCTAGTTCAATTTCAATCAAAAGTTTTCATTTTTTACTAAATTTTTCGAAAATCTTCTTTTTTCATATTTATACTGCTTTGTTTTTCGAAGCCAAAATATAAACATTAAGAGAACTAACTAAATAATTTAGTTAAAAAAGAAAACAAATATTTTCTAACCTCTTTCCACTTCTGCATTTATATTAATTGTTCTTAGCCTTAATTCTTCATTTTCATATATCATGCCACGTGAAGATTTTCTGTCCAATCTGAAATTGACAAAAACGAAAAAAGTACAGAAACTCTATTGAAATTGATATAACCAAAATAATAAATAAAATTACATTTGTGGAAATGGACTATGGATTTTATATGAAGATAAAAATCAAAAAAAATGTAAAGAGGTACATATTATTTAAGTATACTCATATTTATATTACTATAAAGTCCTCATTTGACTAGATGGATTAAAACCGATTTAATTATGATAAATACTTGAGTTAATTAATCATTTAATAATATTTTCGCCTCTGAAAGAGCAGTAAAAATTAAGAGGTTTTGGTTTTTTATTTGGACACATCAAGTATTTTTTTTCGCATTTTTTAGCGAAAAAAAATATTAAAGCCTAAAAAAAATTTTAGTATAGAAAATTTTGGTTTTTCCGGCTAGATCTTATATACAGGGTGTCACCTATTAAAGTGCACTCATGAGTAGACAAAACTTTTGTATGGAGACGATGTTCACAGCTCATCAGGTTCGGAGTTACACGGGCTTAAAGTCAATTTCGACAGATTTTTGCTTTTTGAAATTTTAAGTAAAACTACGTGTCTATGAAGAGGCTTTAAAGCTCAAAATATTTGAAGTTTTAACTTTTCAGGTTTAAGAAAAGTTTTTGGTATATAGCAATTCATTTTGATAGGAGACACTCTGTATATAGATCCAATAAAATAGTTCATAAGTGTTTCTTTAAAATATTTTCTGTATGCCCGAAAAATAGTAGTTTTGAGGAGTATTGAGTATTGATGTGCTTCTGAAATCATAATTGAAATATTTATATATTTTGACTCAACGACCGGTCGCCGTCAATAAGGCTGCTCGTTAATAGACCAAAATTTTTAAAAGATTTTTTATTTTATTCAATTATTAATTTTTTTTAATTTTTCTATAATTAATCACTTTCTAGTACTTGTCCATTTGTCACCTGATCCTTTTGCATTTTTATTACGTCTTTGTTGCTGTTGATTATGTGATGAACTACCAAAAACATCACGAATTGAACGTGAACCTTTCATAATATTTATTTTGAAATATTAAGAATTTGACCAAGAAGGAATTCTTCTGCTTACTTAATTTTTATATAGTAATTATAAATATATGGATATTTTTGATTGGATTATTGACGATGATATTTTAATTATAATTTTTAGTTGAATGGAGCACAGTTTTTGAGTTTTATTTTTTTCGTTTTTTTTTTTTTTTTTTTTTTGACTTTTAATGGTTTATCTCGTTTTTATATTTTATTTTTTATTTTTATTTTGGCATTGAGATTATTAATTTCTTTTTTTAAATTTTGTTTTATAACAAAAAAAATTACACTTAATTTTAATTAGTTAAAAAATTTTTAAGCTTTGAATATTATTTATTTTTAAAATATAAATAAACTGATAAATAAAAATTTATAAAACTTTTAGTAATTTTTCAATTTATGAATGAAAATATTTTTTGTTGAATGTTAAAAATTTTGCAAAAAACTAATGACCTAATAAAAAGTATACGTGTCGCGCGCGCGATTTTATTTATTTCTATTTTTTTTTCAAATAAGTCTATCTCTATTTTACTCACACGTAAAGAAGCCAATAATACTAATAATAATAATAATAATAATTACATTATAAGATTCATACAGAAAATCTTTATTTACAGGCACCCCTGTATAACACATTTTTTTCTAAAAAGCGTTTTTGAGATGACGCAACTTGAAAAATATTAGACTTTTGTAAAAGGCGAAATACTGATTTGCATAAAGCGAAATCGAAAATACTTATATTGTTAATGGATCCAACAATTTGTTTTTTAACAAAAACTATGTCCTGGAAATTTTTTCTGATGAAATTAGTTATACGCGGAAATAGCTTACTATTTAAACGCTATATGATCTCCAAAGACAGCCAATAGTAATAAAGAATAAATAATGAAGTTTTTTAATGAATAATATTTATGTTTTTATAAATTTTTTCCAATTCTGTTTTCTTTTTTGGAAAAATTTGTATATCCGAGCAGTTTCACTTATTCCGTTCTTGACTGTGAATTTTTTTTTTGTTATGAAATGTAAACAAATACTTTAAAAAATTTTTTTTTTTATATTTTTTAATTTTTTTTATAATCAACAAAATTTTGATGTCAAACATGTGTATATCTAGGGCTGCCATACCGGTTGCATTAAAAAAGGAAATACTTGCGTCGTATCTATCTAAGTGTTTTTTTATGATTTAGCTTAAAATTAAGTAATTCTATGATTAAGCATTGCAAGTGATGATCTTGTGAAAGTGAAAGATATAAATTATGAGCATTTCGTAACTTCAATATTGCAGGGATATATTATATTTTTTTTCTCCTTATTCCACATGGGAGCATTAGGATTTTCGATTTGATTTTTTTTAGAGTCAAATTTCAGTTTCACAAGTGGATGAGTTAACTAGACGGTGACCAGTCTGCCGTAATTTTTCTTTGTAATAAATATTGAGGGTTATTAATAATTACTTATTTTTATTTGGTATTCAATATCGAATGTCATAGATATATGGGTGTGTAATTACTTTTATATTAACATTTTATTTTATAATATTGTATATTAAGCTATATAACATTAAGTATAACTTTTATAGTGAGCTGTAACCATTGCACTTTAAGAATGCTTTCATATTCATAATATTCAATAAGACTTTATAATACTCGCGTGTGAAATTTATTTAATTTTAAACTTTTTGTTTTTAATTTCCCCTTTTTATACCCGTACGCACGTATGTTTGAAGGATATACTAAATTAACCTTACCGTTTGTAACGCTGAGAAATAATGGCTTGACACAAGTATACATTTTTGGTCAGCTACGAATTCTGAATTGATTTAGCTTTGTCTGTCCGTCTGTCCCAACAATAAGTCAAAAACCAATTGAGCTGGGCTCAAAAACTTGAAAAGTTATTTGGTAATATCGTATAAACTGTTCAACCTACAGTACTGAAATTTAGAAAAATAAAATACAATAAAATGGCAGCTATATTCATTAAATGTTGTTGAGATCTCATGATCACTTTTTATACAACTATACAACTTCAAAAATTATTTGGCATTATCTCAGAAACTATTGGAATTATAATATAAAAATTTCGTTAAATATTGAAAACTCAGTACTGAAAATTTGCATAAATCAATATGGTAAAAATTTATTTTTGACTTTAAATTGCCATATTAATTTATTTAAGTCATAGGATGTCCTATAGTCCACTATGGCATATTTATTCGCACATAAGATAACAAATTCGTTCGGGTATCACAGAGTTGACATGGTCAACTCTACTTTTTCTCGTTTTTAAATATAGCTGATAACCTTTTTAATGATATTCTTCTTTATTAAAGAAATTGAAAAGTATTTTTTGTGCTTCTTGTTTGCACCCACATATGTGTACACAAATACATCAACGCATAAAAGACACTTGTTCAAAAAATTGCTGTCGATCAATTGAATTCTTAAAAGAAAATTTTTATTTTTGCTTCTTCCTTCCAATGTATAAAAAAGCAAAATCCTCTCTTACTCTCTTTATTCCCCTTTCGATTCTTTTATAAAGAATTATAAAAAAAATTTTAAAAATTAAAAAATAAAAATAAAAGAAAAACAAAATTTGGAAAATTTCAAAAAGAAATTCAGAGTGAAAGTACGAAAAATTTTGAAAGAAATGACAGATTATGAAGTTTTAGATAGTTTTTTTTATTGTTTTTGTTCTTTATTATTCTCGATTTGATGGTTGCAGGCTTAAAACAACAGCATAAAACCAAACGGTGAACAATCCAGCTTAAGTGTTATATAAATATAAGTTTTCATAACAGGAGCCTAAATGGACAGATTTTAGAAAAACTAATATATACTCTCACTTTTTTAAATAAAAATTTGAAAAAAGTGCTTCTTTTTTTTTACCGACCGCATTGCATACAATAAGGGAGTAAATAAACTATTCTTAGGGAGTTGTCAGTCTATCGACTTGTCGGTCTGTCTGTCTGTCTGTCTGTGTCTGCACTCGTGTATTTCAAGTTCAACTAACGGATTTTGATGAAATTTTATGTGTGAGTTTCTTTTGTCTATGTCACGGATTGGTTAATCCTTCACTGTTTTTGGGATATATCAGGCCTTAGGAACTGGACGTTTTTCCTGGCCAATTCTGGCCAATAGATTTTTGCCCATATAAAAAGGTATAATCCACTAATTAACTTGAAATTTAATATTTCAATTTGGAGTGTTAAAACAATGAACATATAAATTTTTTGAAACAATCAAACTTCGGAAACCAAAGTGAGGGTCTATTTTACATTTTTTACCATATCTGCGGAACGGATTGATGGAATTTCTTGAAATTTGATATTTGAGCTCTAATTTTTACCGAAACTAACTAGCGAGCTTTTCAGGGATTTCGGATGGCACAAAACGATATTCTATTAAGAGCCAAATTTACATTTTTCTAGGTATGTTAGCTAAAAGTTTATTAGTGTCCTCAAAAATTGTAAAGAATTGTTTAAAACGAATTTTCATAATCTTCTGCAATACTTTTACTAATCTAAATAATATACAATAGGGTCGGTTATGTGCCGACCACAACAGACTTTTTTTTTTTGGAGGGAAGCGAAACGTAAACAATGATAATAAAAAGGAGAGAAAATGAAAATGTAAATAAAAAAAAAATTCTTTTGTAAATTTACCTTCTATTTGGTTTAAAATTTGCATGACGTCTCCTCTCACGTAGCATATCTAATATATTTCATATCTAGGCCGTCTCTTTAGGAGAATAACTGCATGGAAAAAAAGAGATAAAAAGGAAAAAAGTAAATAAAACAAATATCGTACTAGCACAATAGTATCTGGAATATCTACTGTAGGAAAGATTATATCGTTTTATAATCACTATGATTGGTCTCATCACTTTCAAACAGTGTCGTGTATCGTAACAAATCGACAATATCGTAACGCAATTTATTACATTCATGCTGTTGCTGAATCTCTATTTCAAAGAGCAACCTGTTATTGTGATTTTCAAAATACGGAAAATATCATAGACTTTGAAAACAGCCCAATTCTAAGTTGTTAATTTTGGAAATAAAGTGGTTCTTAATTGAATTTTTTTCTATAAATTTTTAATGTTTTTGACCCACATTAAAAATAGATCTTTAAAATAAAATCATTATTTTTTTTGTAATAAAATTATGCCAAATCATTTTATAATTAAATAAATAACTATGTACATTGTGTATACATACATAATTCATATGTACTGTAAAAGATTTCCATAGAAAACAGATGATAATTATTATTATTTCCAAAAGGACTTAAATAAGTTCTTGTTGAAATGAAAAGTCCTTTACATCTTAAACAATATAAAAATAACATAAAACTAGAAAAATTAGAAAGAGAATTGACTAATAGTCATTCACCTTGAATATTCTTCTATTTTGTATAATAAAAGTATAAAAGAAAAATTTAAAGATGCAACTATAATTCTAAAACAATGTGCAAAATACATTGTAAAAAAATTGTAACGGTAGTTTCTTATCTATTGTCTCTATCATTGTTGTAAAAAGTGAAGCCCGTCGACAATATAATATTATTATATAAAATTGTGTGAATACACTCACCGACGGAAGAAAATCTGCACCAAAGGTCGAAACTTCTCCAAATATTACTTTGGTTACATTTGTTTTATTTTACTGGTAGGATCCACTAGTTATTTTCTTTCGATTTTACGAAACTGTTCAGTTTGCGTAAGTACCTAATACTAAAAACTTTTTTTTCGAAATAAGTCTACATCATGACCAAAAAAGTATCTACAGCTTCATTTAAGAAGGGCGTGGAACAAAAATATTAGCGTAAATTTTACACAAAAATAATTTTTAAAATATGACGGCGGCGTTGTGAACTAATAAGTTATCACAATTTTATTTTTTGTTTTCATAATTATTTCAAATACTTATTTAACTTTTTTTTACGTAAAACTTTTTTTTTGTTTAATTTAAGACCACAAAATAAAATTACGATTTTTTTACTGCGTATTTACATGAGTACACCGTACTTTTGTTGTAAATTTTTATAAGTTCTTCAAAAGTAACGAGAAAAACCAATAGATAGGAAATATAATCGAAATTAAAAATAGAAAAACAATAGAATTATGAAATAATATACACAGGGTGATTCACCAACAAGTGCCATACCATCTACCATCGGGTAGAGGGTCGAAAAGGAGTAAAATTTTTGTTCGGAGCTTAGCATTAAATCGAAACCGTTTCCGAACCACAGAGATTTTTAGAAAATTTGAAGATAGAAGATAACTCCCATCCAAAAAAGGAAGAAGTTTCAAACAAATAGTTTTTAAAAGAGGTTTAAGAAGGCTTTAAATAAACAGCAGCGGGTCTTCGGCATTGTAAATTTAGGAAAATTCCACTTTTCCTTACCTTTTATTTTTTTTTTTTGTCCCGACAATTTCTAATGAATTTTTTTAAGCTTGCAAAAATTTTTTTACAAAATTTTGCCTAGCTGCTTAAGTTTTAATTTAGGTCATTAACAGTTAAAATATCTTTTATTATACAGGAAATATAGCAAAAAAACCTTTTCTATGTCCAGTTTTCAAAGACCTTAATAAAATATGTAAATTCAAAAAATTATGACTATTTTTCATTTTTTTTTTTCCGAAATTTTGGAGCGGAAGTTACAAGCCGAATTATCTTAAAAACAAAAATTTTACTCATTTTCGATTCTTTCCCCGATGGTATATGGCTCCTAACTTGTTGGTGAATTACCCTGTAGAATTTTTTTGGTTTTGTTTTTACATTCTTATTTTAAAGTTTTTATTTAATAATTTTTTGATTATTTTTTTTAAATTTTTTATTATTCGCTTTCCTTTTTTAGTTTTCTTGTCTTTTTTCCTAAATAATTTTCCTAAATAAATTATTATTAAATAATTAATGAATGCATATATTACAGTATATATAAAGTATAGTGTTCAAACAAGTACTGATTCCATTTATAATTACATTACTGAAAAAAATAAGTAAACGGGAGAGTAGTAGTCACAAACATTTAATTGCGTTATAATCGGAAATATCAAGTTTGCCAGTTACTTTGAAAACACGGTCTAACTTTAAATGCAGTCAATTACATTACTATTTATAGCTGCATAAAAACACTGTTTTCTGCTTCGATTAAACTCCCTTTCCTCTTTCCTGCCCTTCGGAATTTCTAGAGTGCATAATGAACAGTTTTGTTAAAGAAATATATAGATATTATTATAGTTCTTAATTTTTTTTCCTTTTCAAATTAATAATTTAGCATTGTTTAGAATAAAAATTACAGATTCACAGAGAAATTTTTTCTTTTTTAAGAAAAAATAAATAAAATATTTTTGTTTTTCAAAATAAAATACTATTATAATATGAAAGCTAGAAAATAATAGTAAAATTAATAAAATTTTTCTTTTATATTTTTCATTCTTGACACATCGAATCACCGCAATTTTGACATTTTATTGGAAGTGTCAAAAAAAAATTGTAACGAATTACAACCCACATACAATTCTTTATTTTTTTTTGTATCTAATTTGATCTTATTCTTTTTTGTTATTCTTGTCTTAATTTAAACGAAATATTTTTATTAAATAAATTGAATTTTATTAAAACACAGAAAAAACAAAGAAAAAACCAAAAATTCCTTTTGATTTTTTGAATTTTTTTCTGTAAACGTTTTGATATCTGACATTTACAACTTAAAGAACGCAACTGGATGATGCACAAAATAAGATAAGATGAACAAGAAAAAGAAAAAAAAAGAAAACAGAAAAGAAAGAAAACGAAATTCAATATAAAAATAAAATAATAGCTTTTTTGAAATTTTTTATTTTAGAATCAAAAATAATGAAAGAAAACGAAGAATGAATAATAAAGAAAAGAAAGGAAAAATAATAACAAAAAAGGAAGAATACCCCAATATAGAAAAAGCCAGAATTCTCAATTTAAATGTTATATATTTTGTGTGTTTACAAAAATTAAAAGAAAAACGAAAACAAATTCAAAAAATAATGTAATAAAAATTAGATGTTCTAATAATAATTATATTTAGTTTAGAAATATAAGAATGATATTCCTAAAGGAAATCTAACATACTGCTTAAACGAAAACAACAATGTTTAGTTTTTCAATATCATTGTTGGATTGCTTACTTATATTGTTTTAAGCGTTTACGTATTATGAAAGCGCGCACACATGTATGCAGTGGCATGATGGCATTATACGAGTGTCAGTAAAAAAACTAAGCAATCAAATAATTTACAATTTTTCCATCAATTTTTAACTTTGACCCAAACGATATGTATTTGACAAAATAATTTACTGTTGAACATATTTCCAATCCTATATGCAGTAATTTCAAAAACTAAAATAAGAACATCGTTTCGCTCTTGTTCTATATATATATAGTAGGTAAAAAAAATATTTTTTTTTTAGTTTTTATAGGTGCACTGCAAATCCCATACCTTCACTTTAATAACTTTAAAAAATTACAAAAATTTGATATGTTTATGAAAAAAATTCATAATTTCATGAGAAAAATCATCAGAATTATAAGAAAAATATATTTGTAACAAAACAATGAAGCAGAAAAATCAAATTGTTAAAAAGTTGTATTCAGATAAACTTTGAATTTCAGATGAGAAACTTTATTTTAGTATGCCCTATTATATTGGTGAGTGAATATGTTTTGACCAGATCTTGTTTTTACCCTCTATAAAGAAGTGCAGTTTGAAAAAAGCAACGAAAGTATTGCCTTTATACGCTGTTCGATAGACTCTAAATAAATGGAGAACCGAAAGCTGTAATTTTGTAGATTTTAATTGGTAAAAATTCAGAAGATATAAAAGAAATGTTTGTTCTAATAAAATAAAACGTATGTCCTCTGATACATATATTCCTTTAATTTAATTAATTATAATTAATCGTACAAGCGTGCATAACTAAACGAATAAAAATATGAAAGAGTGCATTCGTGAGAAAAAAAACAAAAGTGAAAATTACTTTTTTTTCCTTTTTTATTCCTCCAATACTTTACATGTACTTATACATATATTTATACATATATTTCTCTTAAATTCTAAAATACTCATTTATTAAAATATTATATCTCATCATGTAGATATATTAAAACATTTATCTTCTATAAACAAAAATTGTTTTTTTGCTTTTTTTAATTTCTTTTAGGAAAATTCACGCATGAGATGCAATTTAATTGTAAGTGTATTTTATAACATTTTCTTTAATATACACATCGTATGTACTTATGTTCCCTTCTTATTTTTTTAAAGCCTATTATCTTTTTTTTTACAAATTACACTTTCTGCACTGCTCCCTTTCGCTTTGTTTTCTTTATCTTCCCATATGTATTTATGTATTGCATTTTTTTTTACACTATTGCATATGCAACGTATTGCTACATTATTCAGCTGTTGTAATTAAGCAAATCCAACAGAAAACGTCTTAATAAATCGTATATGACTCCACCAATTTACTATTGTTTCTTTTAATTTTATTCTCATCCTAAATATATGCATTATTTTATAATTATTAATATCAATTCAAAGGATTTATGATATGGGGGATAAATATATATATTACTATGATCAATTCAAAGGATTAGTTCAAAGGTTATGGCTTTGGCTGTTTAACTGACTTGCCTGCGTTTTGAGCTTTGGTCAGGTCACTGTTTTAAACCTATGCTCAATTGACATTTAAATTAATGTCTAGTATTTAAAAAAAATACTGTATTAGTATGTAATACAATTGCATTGTTCAAAAACTATTGATATTTATATATTATATTATATAAGTGAAACATAGATTTAAAAGATGAACTGTAATTTTGACCCTAATTCATGTCCTTCTATAGTTTATTTTTCATTAAAAAATAAAAAATATAAAATTCAAACTTTCTTATATAAGTTATAAGAAAGTTTGATTTTATATTTCAATTTAGATAAGAAAAAACTTTTCTTTCATATACGACTTTGATCTTTTTCTTTAAATTAATCAAACTAAAATTAAATCACTCTTTGTTAAATCATCAAATCACATTTTAAAATGTTTTGCTAATTTTAATCAGAGCATATTAAATATTTTTATTTCCTATACGATTATTTAAGAATCATTATTATTTGGTTAAACAGAAAACCAAAAATTATATAAAAAAGATACAAGTATATGGTAGTATTTATATTTAGTTTACAATATTTTTTATTAAATAAATTTTAAATAAATAAATGCCATAAAAAAATCTATATAAACCTGGTGATAATAATAGATTTTTACTTGCAATCGTTTTTCATTTTGTCCCCTTACCATAGGTCGATTTTCACTTGGCTATATTACGACCTAGTACACCATGTACAACTAATTATCCTATAGTACTCGTAAGTTACTTTGAATTGAGAATTAAAATTTTTTTAATTAGTTAAATAAACGTAGAAATATCACATATACTTTCATACATATATATATGAAATAGTGTGTGGTACATGTAGTTGAGCCATATTATACATATATTATTATTTAATAAAATAGAAAAGTGTAACGATAATAATGATGATGTTTAGTATTATTGTAATTTAAATTTTATAATAGTTATAAAGATAATTATTAAAATTTTCTTTTAACATAATGAAATTATTTTTTTATTATAATAAAAATAGAGTTTGGTGAAACCAATGGTTTGTAATTTAGCACTTTTCTCCTTTCCAAGTTAAAATGCTGCTTTTTAAAACAATCTACATTATTAAGATTACTTTCATTCATAACGTGTAAGAATATATTATAAAGATTACATACAGTTAAGACAAGCAATATATGCAATCTTTGAAATAAACAAGAATAAAAATGGGCCGAAGCGTTAACATAATGGTCGAATTAAAGGATTGATTGTGTGAGTTAAGAAAAATAATTATATTTTTTAATGGTATGGCGTTTACCGCTAGCTTTTTTTTTAAGTTCAAATATGGTAAACAGCGGTAAGAGAAGCCTGCCATTATTTTTATGCGTTTGCAAAATTTCACTAAATAGTCAAAAACACTAAATAGTCAAAAAATGGCATTTTAAGGCTTTTGAGTGGCTATTTTAGAGGGGGCCGATAGGTAAAACTGTTCTTCTACGGAAATGAAATTCTAATAAAAACCTATCTGCATACGAAATTTTAGCATTCTATCTTTTAGAGTGTAGAAGTTTTGTATACATGTTCACGGACGGTCAAACACAGTGAAATTAGTATGCTCTTTTTTTCAAATTTTTTTTGGAAAAGTGCTAAGAGAACACATATAAGGTAAGAAATATACATATGTATAAAATATTATACAGGGCTCATTTGTTTCAGAGTTAATTAAAACATTGATTGGAAAAGGTTGATGTGATTTGGTAATATATGTTAGTTTAAGATTTAAGTTTTCTGAAAAGCTCGCTTTTATATTTTTTTCATTTTTAATTCATAACTTAGCAGATTTTTTAACTGTAGTAAATTTTAATATTGTCAATGAGTTGCTTATACTGAGTACCGAATCGGTAAGCGATAGAAATATTTGCTCTCAAAAAATCTATATTATTGTAAACACAAACCAATTCGTTTAAATGAATTGCGTCTATAGTATAATTAGCGTCTATAATAAAATTTTTAAAACTTTTATGGTAATATCATTAACGCTATCCACTTTCTAGTTCAATTTCCAGCGGAAGTAGGAGATAAATTCCTATATTTTTCTTTTGTTGGTTTTTTTTTATTTGTGCATAACCCTGTAATAATTACTTATAACATTTTTTCTTTTTTTGTTTTGATTATCATTTTCTTCACCTAATAATGAAGAGTAAATTGTATCGTCATAGTTTTTTAGTAAGTATGTATGTTATATTAGATTTTTTTCAATATATATATATGTCTCCATTACAAAATTTACGCTTTTAAGTCTCATGTTCATTGTTATCATTGTTAAAACATTTTCTAAAAATTTCAAAATGTATATACCTTTTCTTTTTGTTTTGATTTTTTATTTTCATTTTACGATGCTTTTGCAAGCCATTGTATTTAAATTTATTGAAATATACATACATTTATGAATGAATACATAAATACAATGTGTTACATTTTATTCGTATACGAAATAATTGACTTTCACATCCCCTCTTTGAATAAATAAAAACAAAAAAAAGAAGCCTATTATAAAATCATTATTTATTTTATGATGTTATATAAAATTTATAGTCCTATGAATATGTCAATAGATCTATTTGGCAATAGATTTTACAAATAGATGTAAATACCAATGTCAAATTGACTTTACCTAACTTTCTTATAAAAGTATTACACAAAAATACAAAATTAAAATTTTTTATAACATTTTCAATCTTTTGTAAAATATCTTCAATAAGGCCATCTATTGGGAAAAATTTGCGTAACTACTTCTGTTATCAACTTTTTAGCACTTTTCCAAAAATTTTTTGAAAAACAGTGCTTATTAGTTTCACTCTGTCCGTCCGTCCGTCTGTCCGTCTGTCTGTCCGTGGACATGTTTACAAGACATTTACTTTCATAAAAAGCTGAGATTTTATATGTACTGAGATCTTTATTGGAAACTTATTTATATAGAAGAAAATTTTTACCTATCTTCCACCCTCTAAAAGTTATAACTCCCCAAAACCCTGAAAATGTCATTGTTTAGCTATTTATTGCAGTGAAACCATAAGCATTTTTCAAATTTTGAAAACGCAAAAAGGCAGTGGCTTGCTTCTTCCACCGCAGCATAGCATATTTGAATTTTAAATTCTTTGAAATTCTTTTTCCTTTGAATTTTTATATCGTTTTTCTTCTAGACTGCAAATTGTAGGAGTCTGAAATTTAAGCAGCTTTTAGACACTAATAAATAGTTCATTTCGTTGGAAGAAAATTTTTTTCCATTTGCATCCCCCCTCAAGTTATCGCCTTTCGAAATTTGTAAAATTCGAATATTTGGCATCTCATATTTCCGAAATTGTAAGCTTTTCAAAATTTCTATAAACGAAGAAAGCCAATGGTAATTTCCATGCAATTGAAAAATAAAATTATTTTTCTTAACTCACACAATTAACACTTTAGTTCGAGCATTATGTTAACACCTTATTCCATTTTTTTTATTTTATATCATTATCCAAAATGTATGCAATCTTGGAAATATATTCATGTATGAATATATAGTATATAGATTGATTTAAAAAGCAGTATTTTAACTTAGTAAAGGGAAAATTGCTACATTGTAAACCATTAGTTTGACCCAATTTTATTTTTATGGAGGCTGGCATACTTGAGCTGAAAAATTTTGTTTTCAATGTGATGGGAAGAAGTATCTTATAGTTAAAGAGTTGAAACTAGAAATATAATAACTATAATAAATTTTCATATTAAATTTTTTTATTCAATTGCTTTTTTTTGTATTTTTTTTGTGTTTTTCTTGAGAAAATTCAGTTTTCTTCTTCGCTTTCCAAAAAGTTAAGATTTTTAATGTTTTCCAGAAAAAGTTAGAAATTTTTTACTTTTAGTGTTAGTTAAGTCTTTATAAAAAAAAGATAGTTATAAAATGAAATGAGAAGATAAAAGAAGGGAAACTCGCAAAATTTAATTTGAAACCAAAGAAAAAGTCTCGAAAATATTTAAAGTCGAACACCAACTTGCGAAATATTATAAAAAATTTAATGAAAAAAGTTAAAATTAAAAAAATGTTAAACATAAATAGCTTGCAGATTGAAATTATAACTTTGTTACTAATGTTATCATTAGGTGAGCAATATCTTAATTTTAAAAGAAAAGCATTTAAAATAAACGTAAAAATTTTTGTTTAAAATTATAATTAATTTATAAATAAATATTTAATAAAATAAAATTCACGCACAAATGTTGCAGATATCAAATATTAAAATTGAAATTCAAAGTGGTTTTCATTTTCAATGGTTAAATTCCAATTTTTTTGAAATAAATATTAACATCACAAAATTGGATTATTAAGCCTAGAGCGTACTAAAGTTTTTTAAACATGCTTCCATGTTGCGCAGCCTATTACCTATATCAATAAAGTGTTAAATATAAAAATAAAGTGTTAATATAAAAATAAAAAGAAATAAAAACAAGTAGAGATACCTTTTAAAAATATTAATGTTTTGAACAGTTTGAGCTAGTTAATCATATTAAATTTTTGAGGGAATTGAGTACATCAATTGAAAATAATGAAGGAATACTATAAAGTGTGACTAAAGTTACTGCACATTGTATAGGTATAAATAAACGGCCACAATAATAATTTCCTAGTGATTATACAATTAATCAGTAACTACTTTTATTCATATTTTAATTTCATTGGAGTATCTGCCATAATTTATTAATTAAAAAAATAAAAGCAAGAAACAATTTTCTTTTTTTTTTTAAAAAACAAAATAATTTCAAAATCTTATTTGAATTAACTTTTTTTTTAGATACCATATTATGTGAGTCATATAATTCAAATTATAATCGTAAATGTTCAACAAAATTGGAATCAGCACTCGAACATATGCTAAGACGTAATAGAATGCGATCTGGTAGCCGCAGTTATTTTGACATTACAACACCGTACTCAATATATAATTCATTATATAATAATAATGACAACAATAATTATTATAATAATGGGGAATTATTAAATATAGATGATCGTAAACGGTCATTAAATATAAAATTAAATAATGAAATTTATGATAACAGACCATCAACTTTATCTTCTCCATCATCATCGTCGTCATCATCAACATCATCATCATCACCATCTTCATCATCATCAATATATTATGATATAGATTCAATTGAAAATCGTTATAATGATAATACTAATAACAATTATGATGATAATATTCAAATAAAAGCAAAAAAAAACCGTATTGAAGTAAGCGACTTAAAAGTACGTTTACCATATAATATGCAATGGGTATATGTTGATAAATGCCAATTTAGTTCATATAATCATACATTAGATACACGTTTAATATTTCCTGATTTGACAATAAGTGGTAAAATAACTTTATATCCAATTGGTGGTAAATGTAATATGATATTACGTTTAAGAAAAGCTGGTATTGAATTTCGAACAATACCATTACATCAATCCATATCAACATCATCATCATCATTATCAATAAATAACGAATCAAAACATGGTTCATCATCAGCAGTTCGTACTGATTCACATTTTAGTGAGCCAGGATTTTTATCAGTATTTGCACATAGTTGTGAAGGATTAATAACAAAAATTAGTAATAAATATTATCATAATTCAAAAAAAAATCAACTTTATAACAGTAATAATAATAATAATAATAATAATAATAATAATAATAATAATAATAATAATAATATTAATAATAATAGAAATAAACGTACTTCTACGCTTTTTGATAACAATGATGATTACGGTTCTATTGCATACAAAAATTCATATAAAAATAATCAATTTAATAAAAGGTATTATAACTACAAAAAAAGTAAATTTAATAATATATACTATGATAATAATAACTTGAATAATAATAGAAATTTTGATTATTATGATAATGCAAATTATAATCATAAGAGATATCGTAGAAATTTATATTACAATGATAACATTAATAATAAAAAACAAAATAAATCAATTGAAATTATGTTAAAAAATAATGATGATATATTTTATTTTGATGATAATACAAAAGTATTTTCACCAGAATCAAAAACCTTTAGTGATTTGTTTAATAACGGTTTTATATTCGGTAATAATCAAAATAACAATAACGACAATTTAAATGATAATTACTTTGAATCATCAATTGATAATGATAAATATAATTCAAATCGTTATAATAATTATCATAATCATCATTCTAATCATCAAAAATATAATTATCATCATTACAATTCTTTCAACAATGGAAATAATAATAATAATAATAATAATAATAATAATAATAATAATAATAAGAATAATGACAATAATAAAAATTATCAAAAATATCAACAACATCAGAATTATAATTCACATTCTCATGATAAGAATAATAATTATTATTATAATAATTATGACAATAAGTATTTACATGATAATAATTATAATTACGATACAAATTATGATTCAACTAAATATAATAATTATAACTATAATAAATATTATGATAATAAAAATAATAACAATAATTATAATTACTTTTTAAATAATAAAACAAATTATTTTCCATTTGAATTAACAAATAAATATTTTTATAATAAAAAAAATAATTTTGGAAACAATGATAATACTTTTACATCATCATTATCTAATAATAATAATAATAATAATAATAATAATAATAATAATAATAATAATAATAATAATAATAATAATAATAACAATAATGAAGACTATAATAATTATTATAATGATAATTTTGATACAGATAAAATTAATGATGCATTTACAAATGAATTAGAACAATTATTTTCAATGGGTGTACGTGGTATGTTAACAACGTATATGCAAAAAACTTTACAGCCAGCTATTAAAGAAACATTAATGGAAAATATGGGCTATACATTGAGCTATGGTTAAAAAGATTTTGTTTTTATTTAATTAAAAAAGAGATTTGAACATTCAATTAATTATTATATTTTTGTAACACTTTTGTTATTGTCTCCTTTAAAAGTCCTAAAAATTATTGTTTCATTTTTTTTTAATTTTAAATTTTAAAAATGTTTTTTACATATATTCCTAATAAATAAATAACAATTTTTATTTTAGTTGGTTTTAACATTCTTCAAAAAAAAATTTTTTAAAAATTTTTGTTATCCTCCCCCACCTAAAAGTTATAGCTCCTCACATTCCTAAAATGCTATAAATTTTTTACTATAATATATTGTAACGAACCACAAGCATTTGTGGCAAGTCTCTTCCACTGTACCGTAGCTTAGTTGAACTTTAAAAACAAAACGCCACTAAAATTAGCCTTTACTTAAAACCCGTGTTTTTTAAATTTTATATTTACTTTTGTACTAGATCATAAGTTGTAGGAGTCTAAAATTTTCACAGTACTTAGATACAAGTAAGTGATTTAGTCGCTTTTTCTCAAGTTATATCTCTCGAAATTTGCAAAATTTAAATTTTCAGCACTTTATAAGCTTTTCCAAAATATAATTATTATTCTTAAGTTACGCAATTAAACCTTTAATTCGACCTTTTATACTAACACCTCTTTGAATTTTTATTTGTCCCCCCCCCCCCCCTAAATGTATGCAATTTTTTGAAATATATTGATATATGAATGAAAGTTATTTAAAAGCAGTATATTCAGTTGTTTAAGGGAAAAGTATTAATTTACAAACCATTGCTTTTACCCACTTTCATTTGTATTAGTTTTGAATTTAAATCAAAATGATCGTATAAGTATATCCGATTCAATACTGATGGTACTTCTTGAAATAGATTTCATTTTCCCTTTTTTTAATAATTATGTATTTGATAATTAATTTATAAAGTGTTTAAATATATTGCTATATTAGAAAAAATTCAATATAGTTTAAATTTCTATGTTCGTCCTCTTATAAATCATAAATGTATATATACAAATGTTTCAAAGGGATTATACTAAAAGAAAATTGTATATACTTATTCCTGGAGATGTCATGGCTTCTAAAACGAAATTTCAAATTACGACATGATATATAAGTTATATTTTTTCCAATTTAAATTTCGTGATACGACACTGAAAAATTTTGCATTGATTTTATTATTACTTTTCCTACTGCTGCGAAAATTTGACATGCAATATTATGATATCTTTGTTGCTATAAAAATCGAAACTAATAATTTCAACTGTTTTTGGTAAATGTAAATATTTTTATCTATGTTGCCAGTTATTTTAAGTGTTGTATCGCAATGGATACAGTACAAATAAAAATAAAGCAATGTTTTTGTTGTTTTAATTTTTATTTAACATTTACTTAATTACATAACTCTATCCAAATCTTTTTTGTATATATATATATATATATATATATATATATATATATATATGTATCATAACATATAATATATGTATTTGGATATTAAATATATGTTTATGAATATTTGTGTATAATGTATTTTATATATAAATAAAAATATCTTATATTTTTTACATAATTTCAGTGAGTATATATGTATATGGATGTTCCTTGGTATACATGTATGTTTTTATATGTAACATATACGTACATATATAATATATTTAATTATATACACGAAAGATTTTATTACATAATATATTTGTATTTTACAAATTATAATTTTGGGTTTTAAACATTCTTGTTGTTTGTACAAATATATATGTATATATATTTATAGAATTTTCTTTCCTTATTACATACCTTTATTTTTTTCATTAAAAAACGAGAAAGTGTTTTTTTTTCGTTTTATATAATATCTTTTGTAAAAAAATCAACAATATTGTAAATGCTAATTTTTTTCATATTTCTTTGAACTCAATAAACAATTTTTTGATTTAAAATTAGTTTAAATTTTTTTTTTAGTTTTTGTTTAGTATTTCCTCATTTTCGTGTTTATTTATTTATTTATTTATTTAAAATAAAAATATTTGTAAAAAAAAAACAAAGAAAATCTAAAATTTATATCAACATTAAATATTAGTAAAATAATAATAACGATATTAATATGGAAATTATGTATATGACTTAATATTAAAATTTAATTTCAAAATTGCAATAATATTGGACTTTAACACTAATAAAGACAAAAGATATTACAAGAACAAAAATAGATTACTAAAAAACTGAATATCTTTAGAAAATTTCAACATTTTTAGTCTTTTTTGGCAATACATTAAATTTTTTGTTCATATAATCTGAGACTTTAAAATTGCAGTATAAAATTACTTTTATGTTCAAACAATTCAGCTTCTAAGTTGTTATATCTGAGAATTGTCTGTATCAATATGTGCAACAGTATTATTGCTGCAATTTGCAAATCACAGATACCTTGACATTAGAATTGTCGTGAAACTGTATCACTACACAATTATTTAACAATGTATAGTAAATACAGTATTACAGCAATTTCGATATGGCGGGAATATTATTTAAAAGATTGTATATGTTTAATATAGTGAATCGACTACATTTTTATAATAAAGTACATTTTTTTAATAAATTAAGAAAAAAAAATAATAAAATTTTGTTAATTATATTTTGTGTTTTTTTTTTGCTTTCATTATTATATTTACTAAAACATTTTTTTTATTAATACGCTTCCTTTTTTAGAATATTTTGTGCTTGTTTGCTCATATGAATTTTTAAATTATATTTATTATATATTTATATATATCAATGCTTGCATTCATTATTAAAGTACAAAAAAAAGGCTGTTTACGTTAAAAATAATTTTAAGTTTTTTTGTATGTTTTTTTACAATTAGTTTTTTTTTTGCTTTTAGAGGAAATTGTATTTCCATTACATATATTCATGACTTTGCAATATGTCAGCAATATTTCAACGTTTGAAAATTAAAAACAATAAAAACAAAGAAACAACCAAAGATGAGAGTGAAAAAAAAAGGAAGCGAATAACTATGGTGCAGTTGTTGTTGCATCGTCGCCTTGATCTAGGTTTCCAAAGGTTGGGGGGGGGGGAAGTGGTTAATTTTATTAAAATAAAACAAATGGGCAAAATTATTATAAAGTACGGGAAATGGATTGCACATGGGTGAATTATGATAATTGCTAAATTCTCTAACAAATACAGTGTTCTCACAATTAGGGAAACGGAATGCTTTAAATAGCTGTACCATTATATTCAAAATAGCAATCAAAATAAATGGCACACTAGATGCCATCTATTTGAGAAGAAAATGAATCGAATAGTTTAAAACAAAAAGCACAAAATATATAATTTTAAGTTGAAATAAAAACAATAAATTTAAATTCAAGTAAATTATTTAAAATAATTATTAAATTGAAGTTGAAATATATTATGTATTGAGAATTTTTTTCATTTACTTTCTTATTTATTTACATATTTTTTTTTTTTGGTTATTCTTTCAGAACAATTATGTAATAATGTTTGTTACAATAAATTTGTTATTTATGTATATATGTATATAGTAGCTACCGAATTTTCATATTTCAACTTTTTATTCAACTTTTTTTTAAATTTTTTTAAATATTTTTTATTATTTTATTTTTTTTTTAATTTGACTTTCCTTACGCTTTTGAGCAGTTATGAAATTTTTAAAATATTTTTATTTTTTTTTTCTTTTTGTTTAAATGACATTTTTAATTACTTTGAATTCAAAATTATAGCAAAACTTTATAAATATACAATTGAGTTTAAAAATTTTAATTGCTAAATTGTGTATGAATACAGTAATTACCGAACTTTGAAAGTCACGTATAATTTTATATTTAAAAAAATTTGAATATGGTGTTTTATAAACATGACGTATTTATAAAATTTACAATATGTATATTTTGCTTAAAATTGCGCCAACATTCATTTTTACTTAACAATTTTTCTTTACAAAAAAAAAACGGAAATTTTACAGTAATATGTGGTAATAATATACAATTTTATTTGTGAAATGTGTAGCAATAAAACATTAGAAATAAATATACGATTTTTAAATTAAAAATTTATGCTAAATTTTTCTGATGAAATTTCGATTTAAAATAAAAGTATATATATATATAAATAAAAATTTTGTCCAATTAGAATCACAATCATATACATATTATATTCGTATAGAAATACACAATTCAGCAACCAAAGATATTAGCTGAATAGTATATCAACTTCATATTATGTATGTTACTCCCTTCCCCTTACACCCGATAATATAAGCTAAATTTGTTCAATTTTAGGTAAAGTATTGGCACACATCAGAAAAAAATCTACAAATTTTGAAGTTTTTAATGTACGTAAAATAAAATACAGCTGGCGTTATATATGTATATTTTATTATATATGAAGACAAACAACAATAACAATATATATATATTTATATATATATATATATAATAATAAAATTATGATGTTTATATATAAAAAAGCAAAATTAATATAGAATATTATATTGCAAAATAGTTAGTCCTGTACTTTAAATTCAAATTCTAACAATAATTTGGTGAGATTTCAAGATATGTTTAAAATTGCAGTAGATAATAATTTTTCTATATATGATATATGCATATATATATATATATATATATATATATACACATATATATATATATATATATATATATATATATATATTTATATATATCTACGTATACATATATATCATATAAAATAAATAATATATATCTATATCTTACATATGATATATATTACATTATATAAACAACATTGTTTTTGTTTTTTGTTCTTTTCACTCGGTGGTTATTATATTACCCATATTCGCTGGTACAAAAAAGAAAAAAAAATTACTATATGATTTAAAACGAGTAATTTATTAGATATGCTGAAAAGAACAATAATAGATTTCAATATAATATTAAAGTGTATGTAGTGAGTCTTATGTTTCAGCATTACATATATACAGCTAAGCTGTTCAACAAAAATTTTATTTTAAAATTAAAATTCTATTTTTGTTTAGTATATATTATATTATATTAAACACATATATAAATATATAT